GCGGCGGGAGGGCGGCGTTTCGGCGGGGGGGGCGGGGGCGGCGGTGCGGCGGGGGGAGGCGGTGCTACGGGGGGCGGCGGGGGGGCGGGGGCGGCGGTGCGGCGGGGGGAGGCGGTGCGGCGGGCAGTGTCAATGGGCGGCGAGGGGCGGGGGGCGGCGGTGCGGCGAGGGGCGGCGGGAGGGGCGGGGCGCGGGTGGTGCGAGTGGCGAGGGAGGGTCGGGCGGTGCAGTGCGGTGTGCGGTGCAGTGTGGTGTGCGGGCGCGCCTCAAGTCGATCCACAGAAAGAGGCCCGCCCCGGCGTCGAGATAGCGGAGGCCGCCCTGGTCGAGGACGGCGGTGAGGCGGTCGTACCTTCCTCCGAAGAGGCAGGGGGCAGTGAGTACCACCTCGCCACCCCTCCTCCAAAGGCCCGCAGCGAAGAGCACCTCGAGCGGAGACGCGCTGCGTTGGCCTCCTCCATGGCGGCGCACCTGCGAGAAGGCTCCGAGAGAGAAGGCTCCGAGAGGCTTCCGAGGTGGGGGCCGCCGCCCGTCTCCCCTCCTCTCCCTCCTCTCCCGTGGCCGGCGCACCAGAGCTTGCGTGGCGTGGCAGCGTCGAGTTGGTCGGTGAGGAGGCGCGAGACGATGGCCTGCGGAGGGGGGCGGGCGTCAAGAGGGGTAAGGGCGTCAAGAGGGGTAAGGGCGTCAAGAGGGGTAGAGGTGTCAGGGGGGTGCGGGCGGGCGGGCCGAGGGGGGGGGTGGGGGGTGGGGTGGGGGGGTCAGGGATAGGGGTCGGAAGGGGCGGGGAGAGGAGGAGGCGTGAGGCGGCTGCCTGAGTCGGTGAGCCAACCTGCAAGGAGGGGGAGGGGAGAAGGAGGGGGGGAGGGGGGGGAGGGGGGGGGGGAGGTCAACGCGCGGAGGTGTTGGGGCGAGCCTTGCGCGTGGGTAAAAGTTTGCTGGGCGGCCGATCCCTCTCCCGGGCGTCGAGAACATCTTCGTCTCGATCTCGGCCGCATCTCGGCCGCATCTCGGCCGCATCTCGGCCGCATCTCGGCCGCATCTCGGCCGCATCTCGGCCGCCTCTCGCCTGGCAGAGGTCGTTGAGCTTCTGCAGCGGCGTGCGGATCGCCTCGTTCTCGGTGTAGAGAGCGCCTGCGATGGTGTGACAGAATAAGAGTGATGCGATGCGGATCGCCTCGTTCTCTCAGTGTAGAGGGTGACACGTGAGGAAGTGGTCTCGAGGTCTCGAGGTCTCGAGGTCTCGAGGGGACTGCCGGTCAGCGTGAGCTCGGTCTCGGTGTAGAGGGCGCCGACGCGGAGGCCCGAGAGAGCGAAGTCCTGGGAGAAAGGCACGCACGAGGGGTAGGGGGTGAGGGGTAGGGGGTGAGGGGTGGTGGGTAGGGGGCGAGGGGCGAGGGGTGGTGGGTGAGGGGTGGGGGGTGAGGGGCGAGGGGTGGGGGGTGAGGGGTGAGGGGCGAGGGGTGGGGGGTGAGGGGTGGGGGGTGAGGGGTGGGGGGTGAGGGGCGAGGGGTGGTGGGTGAGGGGTGGGGGGTGAGGGGTGAGGGGTGGGGGGTGAGGGGCGAGGGGTGAGGGGTGGGGGGTGAGGGGTGGGGGGTGAGGGGTGGGGGGTGGAGGTCAGGGCCAGGTGTCGGGATGTCGGGGACAAGAGCCAGAGAGCCAACGAGAGAGCGAGGTCAAGCCTAGGGGCCGTGCAGGGGAAACGAGAGGGGGGAGGGGGGGGGGGGGGTCCTTGGAGAGAGCCCAGACGAGGTGGGCCGACGGGCCGAGCTGCCGGCCTCGCCTCGCCGCCACCTGACTCACTCACACGCGGAGGGCCTCATCCTGCACCCGCCTCGCCCTCGCCCTCGCCCGCCGCCCAACCCACCGTGGCGAGCGATGTCCAAGGCGGCTGCCCGTCGGCTGGTGTGCGGTAGACGGAGCGGGCGTAGATCTCGTCCGAGATGACGTGCAAATTCTCCTACGACCTCGGCTGCACCTCGGCTGCACCTCGGCTGCACCTCGGCCGCACCTCGGGCCGCATCTCGGCCGCACCTCGGCTGCACCTCGGCTGCATCTCGGCCATCTCCCGGCTGCCTCTCGGCTGCCTCTCGGCCGCACATCACGGCTGCATCTCGGGGCGCATCTCGGCTGCATCTCGGCCGGGGACAGAGGGCTCTCCTTGGACTCTGCCCAGTCCCAGCACTCGGCGAGGACCTAGCAAAGGGAAGGAGGACCAGTCATGCGAGGCGAGAGGAGTGCAGACTCTCCCCCTCCCGGCCCCCGGAGCCTCTTCCGGGTAGCAGAAGCCGAGAGGGTTGTTCGGCGATGAGAGCAGAAGCACGCGGGGGGCGATGCCGCGAGACAGCGCCGACGCGTAGGCCGCCTAGGTGTGTGCAGTCGAGGTGCGGCCGAGGTGCGGCCGAGGTGCGGCCGAGATCTGGCCGAGATCTGGCCGAGATCTGGCCGAGATCTGGCCGAGATCTGGCACGGCAGGCGCAGCGAGCCTCGAGCGCGTCTGCGGTGGGGTAGTAGCCCGAAGCCTCGAAGCCGCCGCGCCGGATCGCGACGGGGAGCACCTCAAGTGCGGCGCGCGCCCGCAGGTCGAACTCGAACGCCGCGTAGTACGGCCGAGGCACGAGGACGCCCTCGCCCGCGTCTGCGAGCGCAAACAGCAAATTCTCGAGGACCGCGTTGCAGCCCGCGCCGACGACGAGCTTGTCCGGGTCGATCGGGTACGAGCCGCCGCAGAGCACCCGTTCCATGTGCGCCGCGACCGCCGCACGGCACTGCGGCGTGCCGTGCGTCTGCTGGTAGAAGATGTCGGCCTGCTCAAAGAGCCCAGCGCCGCCGCCGTGCGCGTCCGAGGCGGGAGAGGCAGCGATCGACCGGATCCGTGGCACGAGCCAGTCCGATATCATCTGGTTCTCCGCGACAGACAGCTGGAGCACACCGTCGGGCCGCGACACCGCGTCGAAGGTCTCGACGCCGCGTGCATCCGACAAGTAGCGGGGCAGCAGCGCCGGGGCTTCGCGGCCACGGCGCGAGACGTGCGCCCGCAGGGAGCCATCCTCCATCGACGCGACGGCGACGGTCGAGAGGAGCCGGGCACGCGTGACGGAGAGGACGCGTCGGCCCGAGCTCACCAACATGGAAATATCAAGGTTAGCCACAGAAAAAGATTTCACGGCACGCTGGGTGCGCTTCTTAGCTCCCCGGCCCTGGATGTGAGGCTAATGACTGCACTCCAAGTGCTCCAAGTACTCGAACGTGAAGCGAGAATGGAGGGACTGCCCTTGGCTTGTCTGTTTTCTTTCTTTCTTTCTGGAGGGACTGCGAAGAGAGATAGGAAGAGGCAGACGCCCAAGGGTGGGTGAAAATCCCTGTGTGGTGGCGGCATCAGTCGCCTGAGAGGCGCCGGCTTGGGGGCGCGATTTGTCAATGCTTTTCTTTTTATTTCTAGATATTTTCGAAAATAGGCGGACACACACATGGCGCATCGCTCTCGGGCCCAGAGACATCCCGCAAAGAGGGAGGAACCTTTCGCCTGCGGAAACGACCAGCTCTCCCATTCGTGTCCCCGCCCGCCGGTCTCAGTCGAAAGCTCGATTCATCTAGCGCATCGGACCCTCCGCTCTCCCCGTGCATACATGTACATGTTGTTGTTGTGCATGTCACATGGCCGCCCTGTCTCACCATCCTGACCTCGCGTCGCGCCTCCTTCAGAACCAGGTGAGCGTGACCGACCTGATGGGCAAGGACACCGGTCTAGTGACCGTCCTGATGGGCAACCCCCCCCCCCCCCCTCTCCCATTCTGGGCCCGTCCTGATCCCCAGTTCCCGTCGGAGTTCGAGTCGGAGTAGGACGCGCTCCAGGGCGCCATGTACGAGATGGCCGAGATTCGAGGCGTGGGCGCCGGGCAGTGAGGTAAGGTAAGGCCTAAGTGCTTCTCCCCGCACAAAGAAAACACATTCCCCCAAGTGATGTCCCGTTTCCGCTCGGCGTTTGTTTTTTCGCCACTTCGCCCAAAAACGTAGTGCGCGTGGTGGGTGGGCCGCCTTCTAGTGGGTAGTGGTCGGCGAGGCCGTGGCCAGTGCCCCGGCCCTGCGGGCGAGAGGAGCCAAACAGAGCTGCCACCGCACCATCTGGCGCTTAAGACTTAGAAACGCTTCTAGGGATCTCTTCACACTCCTCCTAAAGCGTAAAGGAAGGGACGCACGCATGCAACCACAGCTCATTCTAGTGGGGAACTGTTGCTAACTTGTGTGACCGGAAGGAATGGAGACCGCGGTGCAATCGTGTGCCGTGTGCGGTACTTGTAGTATAGTAGGGTGAGAATTATGAAAAACGCCGGAATTAAACCACGCGTCCCGGGCAAAGCGAGCTCGCAGCTGTGGGTCAAGCTTGAAGGCATCTAGAGACAGCGTGCAGTGCGACCGCTCCACGGCAAGCTGGAGCTCCTCCACTTTGCGCTCCAAGTCCCCTCTCGCCTGCCTCTCCTCCTCCAAGCGAGCGTGAGCGGCGACGAGCTCTCGCATGAGATCCTCCCGCGAGGCTGCCGCGTCCGAGGTGCCGTCTGCCTGCGCATCGCCTCCAGCAGCACTGCCGGCGCCCACAGCGGCGGCGGCGGCGTCGCTGCCACCACCGCCACTCGCGCTCGCACTCGGGTCGCAAGTGGTCGCAGCCCCGCGATCGGCGCAGCCGCTATTGGCACTCGTGCTGCTTCCGTCGCCGCCCCCCACAGCGGCGGCAGCCTCGCCTGACGACGGCGCCTGCGGGTCCACAGAGTTGGGCGGCGGCGCCGGCGCCGGCGGCGCCGGCCGAGTAGCCGAGTGTCGCCGTGACCTTCGCACCGGCTGGACGGCGCACTCTTCTGCGCCTCGTGACGGCGGCGGCGGCGGCGGCGGCGGCGGTGGCGGGAGCGGCGGCGGCGGCGGCGGCGTCGGCGATGGCGCCGCCGCAGTCGCTGGTGGCGGCAGCTCGGTTTGGGATGACAGCGTCGGGCAGGGCGGCGCAGGTGGTTCTGCTGCAGGAAGAGCCGGCGGCGGGCGAATGGGCGAAGACAATGCACCCGCCTCGGGGCGCAGACGGCGCGACCGTGGCGCTGCGCCGGACGTCGGGGGCGTGTCGCTCGGCCCGGGGCCTCGCACGGCTGGAGAGGCCCGAGGCCGCGTCGTGCCGCCTTGTTGCCCGGGCGGGCGAGGGGACGGTGCGGGAGGCTTGCGCGTAGCATCTCCAAACACGATCAGCTTTGACGAGCACACATCCACCGTCTCGAGCTTGTCCCTCCCCACGTCGTTCAGCTTCACAACGTACGTCTCGACGTCGACAGTGAAGCGAAGTGCCGTGCCCTGCGTCTTGCGTAGATGCGGGCCCGACTGCACGACGCCAAGAGCAGTCTGCCCGTTGGGGCGTAGCCATCCGACCTCTTGACCTGGCCGCAGGGCCGCACCTTGCCGCTTCGGCGCCGCCGTCTGCGCCGTCTGGGAAGGAAGGTCCTTCCAGCCCGGGTTGAGCCGAAAGGGAAGCGCTGTCGGGCTGTGGCGGCTCGCCACGCCGTTTCTGAGCAGTTCCGCATCATCCAGTTCGGACCAATGGTAGCCGACGTGTACGGCTGCGCGCTTCTTGCGAGCCAAGATCGCCTCGATCTGGTCGGCGCTATCATTTGGTCGCAGCCTGCGCAGCAGCCTCTCCGCCTTCGTTCGAAGGGTCGGCAGCTTCGCCGCTCGCTGCCCGTTCAACCCGCTGGCTGTGTGGCCTGGGCAGTCGGTGAACGCAGCTTTGTCGCAGACACAGGGCTGGCCCTTCCTCTTCGTGGGAGCCAGCCCAACAACCTCACTGAGGCCGCGCGCGGAGCGCGACGCGCTCATATACGTCCGCGTGTGGCCGAGCTCGGACGGAGGGCTAAATCAATGTGGAACCAGTCTATACTGCAGCCGCTGTCCGCCTTTCGGGTGCTACATGCGAGAGAGAGAGAAAAAGTACCTGCCAGAGGGAGAAAAAAAGATCGTGTGTTTGGCGTCATTTGGTTCGGAAAAAAAGAAGTCTTTATCAAAAAAAACTACATGCCCTCCCGGGCCTGGCGTAGGGAGACCCACCGATGGAGACGGTGTCTCTCGCGTCGCTCCCTGCCGACCTGTTGACGCAGATCGTGCGACGGCTCGCCGTCGTGGACGTGGCTGCAGTGGACTGTGCTGCGGGTTGCTTCCATTGCCCGGCACCTGGGCAAGCCTCGTCTGCAGTGGAGCAGGCATTGCTCGCGCGAAACCCGACCGTGCGTGCTGCCTACGCCGCCGCGCCCCCATCGAGCTGGACGCAGTTCCTTCTGTGGTACGAATGGTTCGATTGGTACTGTGTTCACCAGCCCATCTCTGCAGGCGCCACGCACAATGCGTTTGTGCGCGCGGACGGCAGGTTGTTGACCTGCGGCGTGGAGGTGGGCGACGACGTGATCATGGGCCGCGAGCGCAGGTCCCCCGCTCGGTCAGGGTAATAACGTGGTCATCATGCCCGGCCCGACGCTTGTGCCCGGTTGCACCGTACGGTTCGTGAGCGTGAGCGTGGGAGAGGGGCACACGCTCGCGTTGGCGGAATCGGGCGAGGTCTTTTCTTGCGGCAGCGACTTGCAGGCCAGCTCGGCCACGGCTCACTCGACGAAGGAGCGGCGCATGCCCTGTACGAAGCGAGATGCTCGAACGAGCTGAAGGCCCGCGTTGCAGAGGCGCACCTGTCCTATGAGGAGCGGCTTGAGATGCTGGCGGGCGAACTGGCGGACGCCACTCTCGCTCGCTTCCTCTGCTCGTGGCTGAGCCCACTGCAGGGCAGGCACGGAATGGGTGCGTTCGCCCCTGGTGAGACCGCGCCCCACCAAGCGGTGTACACGCCACGCCGCATCGAAGCGCTTGCTGACGTGCGTGCCACCGCCGTTGCGGCTGGCGGCACCTCGAGCCTGATCCTGCTCCTCAACGGAGAGGTGCACTCGTGCGGTGGCGTCCTCCTGCACGGCTGGCAGCGCCGCCAGGGAGCCCCATGGCTTGGTCACGGTGCGACGTGCGAGCGGCAGGCCCTCCCAAAACGCATCGAGGCTCTTGTGGCCGCGGGAGTTCGCGGGCGGGGCGTCTCTGCGGGCCAGAAGCATAGCCTCGTCATCGGCGCCGATGGCGACCTGTGGTCGTTTGGCTACCCGGACGCCCGCCTTGGGCGTGGCTTCATCGAGGAAGACGTGTACGAGGACGGCATTCCGTCGCCACAGCGCTACGAGGAGCTGAGCGGCGTGGGTCTTGTGCAGGGCCTCAGCGGACAGCAGGTGGCCTCGGCTTGTTCCGCGGGGCAGGACCACTCGCTCGTGCTCTGCGCAGACGGCACCTGCTGGTCGTTTGGGGTCACCTGCCCGATGGGCGCGGATGGCAGCTTGCTGTGGGGAGTCGGTCGCCTCGGCTTGGGTGCCACACCCAACGACGACCCTGGCCTGAGCTACGGCTTCGCGCCGCGTGACTTCGCGATCGCGCGGCGCATCGGTGGCTCTCTCGACGGCCGGAGGGTCATCAGCATCTCAGCAGGCGGACCGGAAGGCCACGGACTCGGCCAGAGCCTGGTGGCAACGGCAGACGGCTCCGTGTACACCTTTGGCACGGCTGCTGCACCCGGCCAGGATCCTCCGCCTTCTCAGCCAACGCAGTTCGATTCGCTGACGGCCCACTCTATCCACGTCGTCGCCGCTGGCCGCGGCCTCTGGCTTCCAAGTGCCCCTGGCACGGGCAGCTGCGGTGCGCACGCGCTTGCGGTGGACGGCGACGGCCATGTCTTTGCGTGGGGCATGGCGCTCGGCTGGGTGGCTGCTGCCGCCGCACAGCCGGTCAGTGTCGCACAGATGGACGATCACCACCGCGACGTGCACGAGGAGGCCGACGAGCCGGCGCACCTTCAGGCATTCCTCGAGCAGGAGCGCGCACGGCTGGAGGCGTGGGAGGAGCTCGACGCCGACGGGCGGCGGCAGCAAGGCATCACCGCGGCCTCCATCGAAAATCTCGGCGTGCACCTGCGCGCCACCGAGCAGCGGTTGGAGCACTTGCGCACTAACCCTCGGCCGCCCCCGAATCCATCCGCACACGTCGATTGGGGGCACATCATCGCTGAGCCGCAGGAGCATCCCACGCTGCAACTGCGAGTGTCATCGACCGTGCGCGGCACCCACCTGTAGTTTGAGAGCCCGTCTCCTTCCGGGGGCTTAGTTCAGCGCTCGCCTGCGAGCAGGTCTAAGGTTTGGGCAACCCTCTACCCCTACTACCCAACCCGCAACCGTTGCCGGGTGCAACCTGTCCTATACGAGAGTTGAGAGAGGAATCCCTGGGACCCTGTCTGTGGGGGTGAATCCTGCCGCCCGCGGAGCCCCCCCCCCTTCCCACAAGACCGTCCTTGACCCCTCCTGACAGAAACAGTGTTTCTTTTTGTCGCTGTTGCGAAATGGCGTTCCACTCTGAAACCCGCGTGAGCCGCGTTGACAGAGCCTGAGTGTGGTTGGTCGCGGGTTGGTGTGCTAGGTGGTGTGGCGTGTGCGGAACAGCTGTGGCAGTGCCGGGTGTAGTGCAGTGCGCAAACAGGCCCGCGGCCGCAACAAAAGCCGCCGCCGCCGACACGCGCCCCGCCTCGCCCCGATCAGCCGCCACCCCCGTGCAGCAGCTCGTGCAGCAGCACGCCCCCCGCCACGCCGACGTTGAGCGAGTCGACCAGCGCCAGCTGCTCGGCCGGCACCGCCGCCGCGGCCGTCGCCTCGCCGCGCGGCACGCGCACGACGGCGTCGCACTCGCGGAGCACGCTCGTGCGCAGGCCGCGCCCCTCCGAGCCGAGCACCAGCACCGTGTGCCTCTCCCTGTCCAGCTGCGACGGCAGCGTCGACTCCTCGAGCGCGGCTCCGGCGACCAGCCAGCCAGCCTCGCGCGCGGCGGCGAGGGTGCGGACGAGGTTGCGGCTCGAGTGGACGCGCAGCAGCTCCATCGCGCCGGCCGACGCGCGCGAGACCGCCGGCGTGAGCGGCGCCGAGTTCTTCTCCGAGACGAGCACTCCGGCCGCGCCGAGGAAGAGGGCGGACCGGAGGAGCGAGCCGAGGTTCTGCGGGTCGCTCACTTCGTCGAGGGCGAGCCAGACGGCGCGAGCCCCCTCGGAGGGCGGCGGCGGCAGCAGCGGCATCGGCTCGAAGCCCAGCGCCTCCGCCTGCAGCACCACTCCCTGGTGCGGCCGGTCCCTCGTCAGCAGGTTGAGCGAGTGCTTGTCGACGCGGCTCACCGGGAGGCCGCCCTCCGCCGCGAGCCGCTCGGCGGTGCGGACGAGGGCGGCGTCCTTGCGCTTGGCCAGCACCATCGAGTCCTGCAGCAACAGTCGCGTGGCGCTGCGACGGCCCGTCTGCAGAGCGCACAGCACCGACGAAACGCCATAGAGGTACTCGCCGCCATCATACTCGCCGCCGTCGCCGACGACTGCGGCGCCGTCGTCCACCTCGGCCCACTCGTCGTAGCCGGCCGCCGCCTCGCGGCGGTACGACACCGCACGCCCGCCGCGATCGTCGCGGCTGCGGGGCGTCGCCGGCCGCGTTGGGCCACCCGCAGCACGGCGGCGATAGGGAGCGCCGCCGCCGCCGCCGCCGCCGCCTCTGCCAGAGTACCGGCGGGTCTGTGCCCGTGTCGACGCCAGAAGCGTGACAAGGACGAGGCCGCGCGACGCGGAGCGAGCCGTGAGCATGTGTGGGCGGCGGATGCGAGAGGCGGGAGGCGAGATCGACCGGCCACGCTTCGCCTGTGGGTTCGGGACTCTTGACCCGCTAGGAGATCCTTGCCTACAGGTCCGTGCTTTGGTTTCACAACGCGTTCAGTCCAAGCGTTACTACCACACCCTGCGGCCGCCTCCACAGCCCAAAATCGGTATGCAGCACGGGACATACAATGTGCACGCCGCGCAAGTCTTACAATGGCAGCTAGACATGCACACAATGCGCTCTCTCCACCTCCCCACAACGGGCCTGCTGACTGGAGCTTAGGTTTCCAGACGCACGGTGATGCCCCACTCTGAGCGCTCTAGATGGGCTCAAACACGTTGCTGAGCCCCTCAGAGGGCCTCAGCAGTGACCACAGGGAGTGGAGGGAGTGGGAGCGCCGCCGGAGGCGCGGGCAGAGCCAGCGGCGTGGCCTCGTCCGGCGGCCCCATGAGCAGCAGAGGTGCTGCTGCGCCCGTGCAAGCCTTTTTGCGGCAAAACTGCGTCTTGATGTCGCCGCACACCGGGCAGAGCTTCATCTTCGCCATCGGGCACGGTACCCCGCCGCACTGGCAGCCCTGCGCGCACAGCTCGAACGCCGCCTTCAATTTCTCTGCCGCCGCCACCGCCGCCGCCTTCTTGTCTGCAGCTGCCGCATGCTTCGCGTCGATGCGCGCCCGCTCTGCCTCCCTCTCCGCAAGCGTTGCCTGCCGCTTCTGGTGCAGCTGGCGCAGCGTCGCCGAGCCGCCCTCGGACATATCGACGCGCGAGTTGTCTCGCTGGCGCTTCTTGAGAGGCGCCTCCCGAGGGGCCATGAGCCCCGGCACCTGCGCGGGGTCGAGGGGGGCTGCCAAGCGCGCTTGCATCTTCGACGCCAGCTCCGAGAGCCTCTGCCGCTTGACCCGCTCCGCCTCGAGCGAGCCCGACTCCATGCCTGGCGGTGTCTTATTCACCTCCTCGATGGACGGGAGCGGCGACTCCTCGGCGGGCTCGGCGGGCGCGCGGTCGACAAACTGCGAGCGGTCGGAGGACCTGTACCTATCTGGAGCCGTCACGGGGCATCCGGACGGGGCCCCATCTACCTATCATGTGAGATCGCTAAGGGGTGAATGTGAGTGGAGGGTCGGACAGCGTGAATGCGAGAGAGGGGCGGCCCGGGGTTCTGCGTTTATGTGCCAATGTGTGTGAGAGAGAGAGGAATAGTGAATGCCTGAATCGAGTAACTATGTGTGTCTCTTGAAGCCCTCAACATGAGCCTCAACGCTCAGCACGACGTGGGACGTGCATCGTGCACACTTGCGGACTGACTGCGCACTGGTATCGCTGAGCCCTGGTCTGACAGCCTGACAGCAACCCCTGCCTGCGCCCTGGACAGCGCCTGACAGTGCCCGACAGCCTGACAGCGCTGACAGCACTTTCTCCGACAGCCTGACAGCACGTATCTGACAGCCTGACAGCAGAGTCTGACAGGCGAGGTGTGCTCCGTCGCTGTCAGGCCCTAACGTGACAGCCTGGCAGCTGCCCGACAGCCCGACAGCCCACAGTGGCCTGACACAGCAGCGCTCTGACTCACAGCCCGACAGCAGCACAGACCGTACACAGACCAAGGACTCTCACGCCCCCCTCTTCTGGCGATTCCCTTGTCCAAAGTTCGAGTGATAGCCAAAGATACACTTGACTATACATTTTCAAAGATACACTTTATAACATTCCTCCGGTGTATCTACGAAGTGTATCTTCGAGTGTATCTTGAGTGTATCTCAGCGCCGGGCGCCCCAGGACCAGTTGCAGAGGGCGCAGGTGGCTGGGTCCCACGAGTGCTGGCACTGGCCTGGCTGGGGCTCACCCACAGGGCCCACAGGGATGACTGGCTCCGAGGGGAGGGGGTGGTAGCCCATGGGGAGAGGGATTACCGGCACACACGGCACGCCGGGACCCGTGAGAGGAGACTGTGGAGGCTGCGCCGGCGCGGGCGTGAGCGGCGGCCTCTGCGGCCGCCTGGCCTGCTTGCGCGCCTCCTTGACCGCCCGCTCTGCCGCCATCTCCTACAGCCCAGGGAAGGAGGACTGAGCGCAGCCAGGATGGGTGCGGGCTCAGGAGCGCACCTCCGGGGAGCGGCGAGGCTGGCGAGCTGCAGGCGGCGGCAGCTCCGACCCGTACTCGTGGTGGTAGGCCAGCTTGGCGGCCGCCTCCTCGGCTGTCGCGCTGTTCGAGTCGGGCAGGTGGCGCTGAGTCTTCTCGCCGACCCGCTTGAACTTGGCGACAAAGGGACGGTTGCGCTTCTTGCTGCCGCCCTGCTGGAACACGTTCTCGTAGCCGGTGCTGGACGCGGACGACATGCGGAGAACCACGGGCTTGCCCTTCCAGAAGCCGGCGCGGAACATGATGCCATTGGGGCCCTCAAAGGGCGGGCCGAGCCCCTCCAGCGGCATGAGCAACTGCCGCTCCCGCTTACGTGTATCTTCACATAAACGCACACGTGTATCTTCACTATGAACGCGCTCCGTCAAGATACACCTCTTCGTTTGGGCCGCGGTGTATCTTCGTATGAAGATACACCTCTTCGTTTGGGCTGGGCCGTGTATCTCCGCATAAGTGTATCTTCAGTGTATCTTCCGCCCGTCTAGATACACGGAGGGGTGTATCTTCTCTCATGACACGAACCTCCCTCCGGGGAACCTCCCAAAGGGGGGGGGGCGTGAGAGTCTCCTTGATCACAGACCCCGTGGAGCCTCTTTCTTGTGCCCCATTCGGAGGGTATAACAAAGACATGCACAACAACATGCACATGCACATGCACATGTGCATGCACATGTGCATGCACATGGTGAGTGTGGTCCATGGGATGGTCATGCTACATGTCTCCATCGGGGAGCGCAAGCAAAAGCACTGCCCGCCCAAGACCTACCTATACCTCCTACCTACCTATAGGCGGGACATACAGACCCCCTAGACGGCAAGGAGCCCGAACCCTGACTGCGAGAGGGCCAAAAGTGAAATGCAACTTGCGGTGCCATCCAAAGCGACTCACATCTCACGCGGCGAGGTCTCTCAAGTCGTCCAGCGCCTCGTCGAACCGCCCGGGGTCAAAATCGCGAACGCACAGGTAGACCTCGGCCGACTCGCGGCGCGAGGCCTTGGGCTTGAGCGTCGACACCTTGCCGAAGCGCCGCGCCGCCTTGACCAGCGCGTGGTGGTCCGCCCCCTGCAGCGCCTTGGCGAGCACGGCGCCGCCCGGCCGCAGCACGCGGCGCGCGAGCGCCAACACGTCGACCAGGATCGAGACTAGCCTCGCGTGGTCGCAAAACAGAAGGCCCGAGCGCGCTGGCGAGATGTCGGAGAGGACGAGGTCGACGGGCAAGCCTCCGAGCCGGCCGAGCACAGCAGCCTGCGCCGCGGAGCACCCGACCGAGCCGCGCACGACCGTGCAGCCCTCGAGCGGCTCCATCGGCAGCTCGTCGAGTGCCACGACCGCCATGCGATGCCGCAGCACCACCTGCGTCCACGAGCCCGGCGCCGCGCCGAGGTCCAGCGCCACGCCGCCCTCTCGCAGCAGCCGCTTCTTGGCGTCCATCTCGAGCAGCTTGAAGGCCGCGCGTGAGCGGTAGCCGAGCCGCGCCGCCTCGCGCACGTAAGGGTCGCGCTGCTGGCGCTGCCGCCAAGCCGCGCCCGCGTGCAGCAGTCTCCGCAGGCACGGGCGACACGGCTCGGCGGCGGCGCCGCGCACGAGCGAGGGCCTGATCATCACGGCTGTTCAGTGGAGGCTAGACTGGGGTCAGATACGATCGATTTCTTCTTTCTCCCCTCAAATAGAGATTGAAAATTCGAGAAATTCGAGAAATTGCTTCCGAGGTTGATGACTGCCGCGCTTCTCGCACATCGTGCGACCAAACCCCACGATGTTGATTTGCCCACAATATACCTAAAACCCCACGATGTCTCGGACGGTGCTCCTCCTCCTCCTCCTCGCCCGCGCTCGCGGGGCGCTCGTCCCGCCACCCATTTCGCGAGTGGTGATGAAGTTCGGCGGGTCGAGCGTGCGGGACGCCGAGCGGATCGCGGAGGTTGCGTCTCTGGTCCGGGCGCAGATGGTCGAGCACAGCGTGCAGCCTTGCCTCGTATGCTCCGCCATGGGGAAGACGACCAACGGGCTTCTCGCCGCCGCGGACCGTGCGATCGACGAGGGCACGGTCGACCTCTCGACCGTCCGTGCGCTCCACGTCGATACGCTCGACGCACTCAGCATCTCCGGCACCGATGCGAGCGAGGTCGTGGAGCTCCTCGACAAGTGCGAACGGACGTTGGAGGGCGTCGCGCTGCTGGGTGAGCTCTCGCCGCGCACGCGCGACCTGGTAGTCTCGTATGGCGAACGGTTGAGTGGTCGAGTCGTCGCAGCGACGCTGCGGCGGCAGGGCGTGCGAGCCCAGCAGCTCGAGGCGTGGGACGTGGGCGTCGTGACGACCGACGAGTTTGGCGAGGCGACTCCGCTCGACCAGTCGTGGGAGGGTATCGCGGCGAGCCTCCTGCCGGTGATGGAGGAGGGGACAGTCCCAGTCGTCACCGGCTTCATCGGCAAACCTCGGGGCCGGCGGCTCGCGGGCCACTGGGTCACGTCCCGAACAGCCCTCGTGCGGACTTCGCCTCCATAGGCAAGGACCTGCAGGGACGGGTCACGACTCTCGGGAGAGGAGGGTCCGAGATATCTGAGACATGGCCGGTATAGAGCCCTCGGGAGGGCCTGGCCCCCTCGCCGCCCCGCGCCTCGCGAGCACCTCGTCACAGCCGCCGCTACAACCAGGTCCGACCTGACCGCCTCGCTCCTCGGCGCCGCCGCCGGCTTCGACGAGGTTCAGGTGTGGAAGGACGTGGACGGCATCCTGACGGCAGACACCCGCGCCGACTGCGGGCGGCAGCGTGCACGCGTGCATGACACGTCCACGGCACGTCCACTGTCAGGCGGACCCGCGCATCTGCCCTGCGGCGGCGCCCGTCGCACGAGTCACGTTTGACGAGGCGGCCGAGCTCGCCTACTTCGGAGCACAGGTGCTGCACCCGCTCGCGATGCAGCCGTGTCGCCGCGCCGGCGTGCCGTTCCGGGCAGCAAGCTCTCTGGTGCTCTGCGGGCCGGCGGGAGGGCAGGTCGCTGGACGCGCCCTTGGCACGGCCTCTAGGTCAAAAACTCGTACAACCCGGCGGCGGAGGGGACGCTGATCAGCGCCGACGGGTCGGCTTGCTCCGAGACGCGCCTTGTCTCGGCCATCACCTCGAAGAACGGCGCGCGGCTCCGCGGGGAGGAGCAAGGTCAACATTGCCTGTGACACTTCCCGGACGGGTCCTCGACGTGCTTCGCAGGTGTTCAGCTGGTCGACATCGAGTCGACTCGCATGCTCGGCGCGCGCCGCGCTTCCTCGCGCGCTCTTTCCCCGCCTTTCCCCGAGCCTTCTCGGAGCCTTTCCCGGAGCCTTCTCGCCGCCTCTCCGCAGGCGCGTACGGCTTCCTCGCGCGTGTGTTCGCCGCGTTTGACCGCTGGCGCATCTCGATCGACGTCATCGCCTCGAGTGAGGTCTCTGTCTCGCTCACCCTCAACAAGAACCAGCTCCTCGAGCGGCGCTCCATCAGCGCGCTCGAGCAGTCGCCCGGCGCCGAGCGGTCCGAGGAGCGAGGACTCTCGGAGCTCTCTCGGAGCTCTCTCGGAGCCTTCCTGCAGGCGTCGAGCGGTCCGAGGCGCTCGTCGGGCTGATGGCGGACCTCGAGCAAGTGGCCAACGTGCGCGTCTCGGGCGGCCACTCCATCGTCACCCTCATCGCGAACGTCGGCTGCTCGTCCGCCGTCGTCTCCGCCGTCTGCGCGGCGATGGACCGGCTCGGCATCCCGGTGCAGATGATCTCGCAGGGCGCGTCCAAGGTCAACATCTCGATCGTGGTGCCCGAGGAGCGCGCCGTCGAGGCGGTGCAGGAGCTGCACCGCCACTTTTTCGAGCAGCCCCCGGATTGCGCCGGCGCCAGCTGACAACCTCACAGGCCGCGCTGCCGCAGCCGGCCAGCCGGTCGGGTCTGGGCTCTGGCGGAATCGGGTTGTTGACTCGTTCGCCCGCTCAAAGCATTGGGCGTAGACTACGACCGTGGCGGGTCGCACGGACCTCTTCCAATGTGTATCTCTCACCGGGGGGTTTATTTTAGTTAACATGTAATATCTCACAGCTCACACGAGACAAATCACACTGAGCCCCGCTGGTCTGACAGACTGACAGCAAACCCCGGACAGCGCCTGACAGTGCCCGACAGCCTGACAGCGCTGACAGCACTTTCTCTGACAGTCTGACAGCACGTATCTGACAGCCTGACAGCAGAGCCTGACAGGCGAGGTGACCCGTCGCTGTCAGGCCCTAACGTGACAGCCTGACAGCTGCCTGACAGCCCGACGACAGCACACAGTGGCCTGACACGTGACAGCAGCGCTGACAGCCTGACAGCAGCACAGACCGTACACAGACCCCGTAGAGCCTCTTTCTTGTGCCCCATGAGGGTATAACAAAATTACATGCAAAGACATGTGAGTGTGGTCCATGTCCATGTAGTCATGGGATGGTCATGGGTCTCTCTTTCAACCCTCCCGCCCCACCTCTGCGGACCCCTCTCCAGCACCGGCGGCTGTGCTACTACAAATGAAGCTACCAGCTAGCCTTCTGGGGCCCTACAGTCATATGCCTACGGCGTCTGGGTGGGGATGGCCGCCGCCGTCTGTGCCGCCGCCGCCGCCTGTGCCTCTGCGCCGCCATCTGCGCTCCCAAGGCGGCCGCCGCCGCCGGCGTGATCACGCGCCGTGTAGGAGGAGAGGCTGAGAGTATGTGTAGTAGAGTCCTGCTGGTCTCCTCTTGATAGTGTCATAAGTGTGGCTGGTGTGTGTCAGAGCCTGACAGCACCCCGACAGCACCACCTGACAGCACCTGACAGCAACAGCCCAACGTCTAACAGCAGCAGCAGCCTGACAGCTCTGACAGCTCCGACAGCGTCTGACAGCAACACCCGACAGCTCCGACAGCACCCGACAGCTACAGATCACCTCGCCTGTCAGACACGCACCCGACAGCACCTGACAGCACTGACAGCACCTGACAGCTAGTCTGACAGAGGCACCTGACAGTGCCTGACAGTGCCCGACAGCCCGACAGATCACCTGACAGCACCTGACAGCCTGACAGCCAGGGCTCAGACAAATCACAAAAAAACAAAAAGTCACACGCAGGCCACGAGCGCCGTTGCCGGGGGCCGCGCAGGTTTTCACCGCGGTCGTTCTCTTACTTCTTTGTGTACGATATATATGATATATAACACCGCTGTGCATGTGCGGTCGGAGCGTAGCGAGAATCGCGCGAATCACAAAAAGTCCGCTTTGCAAGAATTTTACACGCACAAGCTCGCTTGGCCTTGGGTAAATTCGATCTTGGGAGAGCGTGCACACCACTCACGCCTGTCTAGTGGAGCGACGGGATCGCGCCGGCCGGGGAGCGGAGGAGACAGCACACCCCGGCTACCTGCGCTAGCGGCCGCTGGCGGCCATGAGAAGTCCATTTCAGTCACCCATCAATCACCTGCCCGGCCTCGCAAAGATTGCTCCAAGAGCGCTGGCGAGGGAGGGCATCTCCACGTCTGAAAGGGCAAAACTCGCACCAAACGCGGTGAGGGAGCGCGCCGAGGCCAACGCGCCAGCGCCGCCCTTGTTGCGGCGGGCAGAGGCGGGCAAGCTCCAGGACCCGGCTCGGCGCGCCGCCAGCAACGCCTCCGCCTCGTCGATGGCGCGGATGACGGCGGGCGCGAGGGTCACCCGCGGCAGTTGCTGCCACAGCCCGGGCACGACGAGGTTGAAGTCGTCGATCCGTGCGTTGAGCTCGGCGCACCGCTCCTCAAACTCGGCCAGCGCCACCTCCCATCGATGACACAACACGTCATCCCACTCATCCCACTCGCCCTCTTCTGGCCCCTCGGCACCGGCAGCTTTTGTCGCCGCGGCGGCGTCCGCTGCGGCGCTGCGTACCGCGGTGGCAGCCGCGCGGGCGCTGCGAACCTCAACCTCTCTCGCCGCAGCCGCCGCCCGACGAGCCGCCGCCACGTCGAGCCGCGAGGAGCCACGCGACTCGGCTTGCACCCGCCTCAGACGCGCCTTTGCCCGCCGCGCCACCTCTGCCGCCTCAGCCGCTGCCGCCGCGCCCCTCGCCGCCGCCACCCGCCGCGCCGCCCTCCTCCCTGCCGCCTCGGCAAACGCCGGTGTTGCGCCGGCGGATTCGTCATAATGCTCGTCCACCACTTGGATGTAGGCAATCGCGAGCTGCCTGCGCGAGGCCGCGAGGCCGTGCCGAATCTCCTTCCTCAGCTCGATCCAAGCGGGGGCGCAGCCGGCCTGCTTGAGGATCCGATTGGCGGTAGTCTCGCCAGCAAGCACCTCGAAGACGTTCTCCGATTGCTGCCGCAACGGCTTGCCCGCATTTTCCAGGTCATCAAAGAGGCCCTCGCGCACCGCCCTGTTGATTGCACGCTCGACGTGTGAGCCAGCCTCGTCGCCAAAGGCGGCGTGGCCTCCGCCCTGCCCCGACCGCTCCGCGTGCACAGCGGCCTCGGCGACAGCGTCTTTGGGCAGCAGGTACGAGACGGCCGACTGGAAGGCAGACTCGGCGCGCCGGACCTGGGCGTCCCTCGCTCTCGCGCCGAGCGTGGCCTCTCTGCTCTCGTGCTCAAGGTAGCGGCGGGAGGAGGCGCGCGAGAGAGATGAGCAGAGGCGCCGGTGGACAGGCTGCAGCGATTGGAGGCCCCGGCGGTGGCGGACGGGCATAGACCAATCCATGCTGGGACGTACGCACACTCCGCCTGGAGCACTTGAGCACTTGAGCACTTGATAGGGTCGATTCCGCATGGTACGCGACCCCTCGATAAAGACGACAACGGGCAGGCGCCCAAGGGTGGGCGACGGCTTACACACAATATTAAATTTTTTTTCGCTTCTCGGTCGCGACCATGTCGGTCGCGACCACGTCGGTCGCGACCATGTCCTCGAGTGACGAGGAGGAGCAGGCCAACGAGCTGCTCGTGCTGCAGTCCGTGTACGGCGACAATGTCCTAGTCGGCGATAGCGTTACCGACAACGACGGCGCAGCCCTTTCCGCCTTCAGCGTGGATGTTGAGGTGGCTCTTGAAACGCGAGTGAGCCTCCAGGTGGAGCTGGGTGATCACGAGCCACCTGTCTCGGAGGCGTCCAGCAAGGCCGTGGCGGGATTCACCTCTTTCGTGCGCGATCCTCGTGAGCTGGTGAACGCTCAGACCGAGGCAGCCGCCGGCGTGCAGGCAGTCCTGCCAACGCGCTCGAAGAGTGGGCGCTCTCTCGTCGCGACGGCGCGCTTCCTTCCGCCACTCCATCTTGCTTTGGTACTACCGCGCGACTACCCTTCCAGTTCGCCGCCGCGCTTCACTCTTTCTGCACTGTGGCTTGATGTCGAACAGCTCAGCTTGTGTGCGAAGGCACTCGATAAGCTGTGGGAAGACATGGCAGGCAATGGCGTGGTCTTCTCGTGGGTGGAATGGCTGAAGCACGAGGCGATGGCTCTTCTTGGCTTGGATGGCAATGGCTATGACGGCAGCGATCTCGAAGGCGGTGCGCCGTGCCTCACGCTTCGGCCACACGGTGTTAAGAGTGCACCCGCAGCAGAAAATATCGACGGCTGCGGCGGCGGCAGTGGCAGCAATGGCGGCAGCCTGGATGATGTTCGGGTGGTGGCCGAGTGCGAGTCGCCGAACGAGGCGCTCGTGGCGATCCTCCAATACGCCTTCGAGGAGGAGCAGCGTGCCTTTGCACTCGAGGTGCACACGTGCCCGATCTGCATGGATGAGGTCCCTGGCATGGCGTGCGTCGCGGGCGTGGCGGCCGGCTGTGAGCACGCTGTATGCCGGCAGTGCCTCCGCGTGATGATTGAGACAGCCGTCGACTCGGCTACCATCGACGGCATCCGCTGCCCCATGCCCGAGTGCCGTTCTGAGCTGCCAGCGGCGCTCATCGCGCAGCTGGTGCCGTCGGAGACACAGTGCAAATGGGAAGGCTTGCGGAAGGAGCAGCTGCTTGCAGCGCTGCCTGGGCTGTGCTACTGCCCGCGATGCGACCCCGCGTCCGCCCAGTACAGGCACTCGGGGCGACCTCTGCTGAAGGGCACCCTGTGCAAGTTCTGGGAGGCAGGTGCTTGCGCGGCTGGCAGCCGCTGCAAATTCGCCCATGGCGAATCTGAGCTGGTGCTGCCGCCGCAGGCAGTGCCGTGCCTGCCTGTCGACGACTCGGACCTTTGCATTTGCCCCGAGTGCGACTTCAACTTCTGTGCGGCGTGCTACGATCCGTATCACCCGGGGAGCGAGTGCGCGAGCCTAGAGGCCAGGACGGCCTACCTCGCCGCAAGGGCGGCTCGGATGGTGGGACAGGCTGCCTCCTCCTCTTCCCATTCGAGCTCCCGCGCGGCTGTGCACGCGAAGCTAGCCGAGCTCAAAACCCTCGAGGTGATCAAGAGGACGGCCAAGCAGTGCCCGAGCTGCAGGGCTGCCATTGAGCGGACCGAGGGGTGCAACCACATGCAGTGCCGCTTCTGCGCCGCCCACTTTTGCTGGAGCTGCGGCCAGATCATCGGGAGCGCCAATCCGTACGATCACTTTCGCAGCGGCGGCTGCGTCGTCTTTCCGACGGAAGCTCCCCGGCGTGGTGGCGCTGGGCCGCTGCGTCTGACTGCAGCTCAGCGCCGTGAGGATCGGCTCGCCCGCCAGCTGCTCAACCAGCAGCGTGGCGGCCAGAACCTCGAGCGCCTCCAGCACCAGCTCGCGCTGCGTGGGAAGCGCTGCCCGACCTGTGGCGCCGTCAACCACAAGGAGGACAACTCAAACCATATCCGCTGCCACCACTGCCGCGGCAGCTTCTGCTTCCTCTGCCGCGCCGATCTTCGCCGTGGCATGCGCGGCCACTTTACGTCGACGCACCCGCAGCACTCCCCTCTGGATGAAGGAGGTATTGCGGAGGCTCTCGCTGACCTCGATCTCGCCGTGGATGTCATATAACATACAGCGTGTCGTTGTTCGGAGTTCGCGTGGTTGGCGTGGCCAGAGGCCGGGCATGCTGGGTGGTTTTTGGTCAGGCCGTGTATGTGCTGGAATCGGTCATCCCTGTACATCCTCGGTCCACACACCACAGTGTGCCACTCGGTGCGGCGCGGTCGGTTGCGGCTTGGCGCCTGCGTGTTGTCACATGAGACATGCACATACATGCACATGCACATGCACATGGACATGGACATGGACATGCACATGCACATGCACATGCACACGCACACATGCACATGCACATGCACATGCTACATATGTGCATGTGCAAAGCTCGAAGCTGCCGCCGCGCGTCTGTGTCAGTCTGTGACGCCACTCCCCAGGGGCTGGACTAGGCGAGGACGCGACCTCTAACAGTATCAATAAATTCACTCGCGACGCGTGGATACGTGCCGGGGGTAAGGGTACGGGTAGTCCGGTCGGTAACTCTGCTAACTCGCGGTGCGCGTGGCCGGTGGGGTCGAGCGCCCGCGCCAATCGTGGGCTGTACTGTTTTTTACACATGCAAGGAGGCCCATATGCGTATACGCATCACATTACACCCTCTCGGGAATACGTAAACTCGGTGCGTGTACGTCACTTGCCAGTCCAAATGCGTCGCATTACGCAGCCCGTCGAACGCCTCCCCCTTCAAAAATAAATAAAAGACGTCAATACATACCTCGAGGTACACGAACACGTAATCATCGCGTGCGTGACGGTGCGATGGCCCTGTGGTTGCCTCATACGTACCACTCGCCAAAACCACATGATTGCCTGGCAAATGATTTCAGGCCACTCGCAGCCTTGTTTTAATCCAATACGGATCCATCAAACTTGCGCACCTACGTGCGTCCGTTGCATGATGGCCCCGCCGCGGACCCCGTCGTCAGAGGGCGTTGTGCTGATCCCAGCCATCACGAAGAAGAACACGACTGGCTACAAGAACGTGAGCTACGGCCGCGACAAAAAGAAGTTCAAGGCGCAGGTGAAGGATGGCGGCAAGCGTGTCTTCCTCGGCTCCTTCGACACCAGAAGTACCAGCTGAATGTGAGGGTTGGAGGCAAGATGGTCACCGGCTGGTTCGCCGAGGAGGCGGCGCGTTCTTCTACGCCCGCAGGGAGGCGGGCATGGACACGCTCGCCAGCGATCTCACTGCGCCGCCGCCGCTGCCGCCGCCGTCCTCAACCTCTGCGGAGCTGCCAGTGTACGAGCTCAGCATTCTGACGCCTGAGCAAATGGCCGGACCCAAATGGCCGGACCCCCCAGAGACTCGTGGTCAGACCCTCCGCGCTCCGGGCCCTTGATTTTACGCCTCATTTCGCAGTATTTTCGAGAGGAAAATCATCCTTTGCGCTTTGGAGCTACATGAGCCTTGAGACTGGTCAGATTCTCCAAGATATTGGACTTTCAGCCACGATTTCACAACTCTCTGGCGGCTATTCCTAGCCCACGAACTGCTGGGGGGTGCCCACCACCATGCTGGGGGGGGGGGGGGGGCGTGCCCCTCCCTGGAAGCGATGTGCGCCTGCTCCCGCCAGCGCGGCTGGGTCTACCTCAACGACTGGGGGTGGGACCCGACGGACGAGTTCGTCATCGAGCGGCTGATTGGCAAGATGGTTGCCGACGGCGGGGACGTGCCGGGGCGGGAGGGGGAGGAGATCGCGGCGGGTACGGTGCTCTACAAGGTGCTGTGGGAGGGCTGGCCCCCGGAGATCGCGACGTGGGAGGAGGAGGACCAGGTGCCGTGCGGGGAGGTCGACTTTGTCGCTGACTACGAGGCGGCGCTCGAGGCGGAGGAGGAGGACGATGACGAGGAGGGCGAGGAGGGCGAGGGCGAGGACGCTATGGAGGCCTAGGCGCGGAGGATGCCGCTGTGTGCGCTGAGACGCTCGTACGTGTGTGCTGGAGCCGGTCTGTTGGGTGTGAATGTGAACACTCTCTGACCCTCACCTACTAAGGGTTGGTCAACCACGTGGGTGTCTATGTGTTTCTCTCGGGCATTAGATTCTTATTTCATCGTCAAAATGCCCCCATATTCACTTGCCAAAATCGCGACCCGGGGTGTTCGACCGGGCTAGAAGGCGTGCTCCAAGGTGCAGGTTAAGCAACCGAGCAACGGAGATGGTGGGTCCAATGGTGCGGGGGTACGCCTCGGTACGGGTGTTCCAGGCACCAGGGGGTCACGACACGCACCGACCCTTCACGAACCGAAAGGCTGTGCCCAGTCGAGTTGCTATCGCTATCGGGAACCGGCCCCGGCGAGCCCCGAGCAGCGAGCAGCGTGTGTTTGTTAGTTTGGGAAATTTTGGTGAGACGTCTCTGTCTCACGGGTGTTTCGTCCCTGTCTCACTTGCATGATTTTTTCCGTCTCTCTGCGTCTCTCCAAGCGTCTCTCTGCTGTCACAGTGCTGAGTGTCAGTGTCGCCGGTGCGTCTCAGATGCGTCTCAGATGCGTCTCACATTCGTCTCTTTCGGCCGCGTATCACTCAGTCTCACGGCTGGGCTGAGACGTCACAATTCCTGAGCGAAGTGAGTCGTCTCACTTCCGTCTGAGACAGTGCTGAGCCACAATGAGACGTGGCGCAGGGCGGGGTTTGCGACGCCACAAGCCGCTGCTTGACTGAGTCGTCTCAGGTCCGTAGAGACCATGCTGAGCCAACCTGAGACGTAATTGTGAGACAGTGGCGATTGGGGAGACTCAACTCAGGCTGTGTCTGAGGTGCGGCCTGGCGGGTCTCGGTGAGTGTAGACGAACCCCAAGCATAATCGCGCTCTCTGGCTCAAACGGCGCGTAGCCGCCGGTTGCTCTATCGCGCTCTCAGACGCAAACGGCGGGCGTAGCCGGTTGCGCTCGCGGGCAGGGCGGTTCGGGTTAGTGCCCAGCACTACGCTCTCGCCCTCTGTTCGTCGCGTTCTTCACGCCGCCGCCCACGCCACCGCCCACGCGCCGCCGGCGGCGGCGCCGTCATCCACGCCGCCGCCCGCGCCGTTGCCCCTGCCGCCGCCCCCGCCGCCGCCGCCGCCGCCGCCGCCGCCACTGCCGCCCTTGCCGCCCTCGCCCACCCCATTGCGCCACGCTGCTTCCCTCGCCACGTCGTTGCCCACGCCGCAGCCCCCTCAGCCCTTACAGCCGTCGCCGGGCGTTACCCACGCCGCCGCCCCACTCACCGCCCCACCGCCCTTGCCGTTGCCACACCTGGCCCACATACCGCCGGCGCCCTTGATTAGGCACCGCCGCCACCCTCGCCACCGTTGCCCACAACCGGTCCCACGCCACCGCCCACGCGCCACGCCGCCGCCGACACCGCCGCCGGCGCCGCCTGTGCCAACGCCACCGCTGCCCTTCCCACACGAGCACCCACCTCGCCGGCTCGCCGCCACCCATGCTGTCGCCGCCCTCACCCCTCTGCCGACCGCGCTACAACTGGCTAGCAAAGACGACGCAGCCTATAGTCTCGACTCTCCCGCCAATGTCTCACGATTGCGTCTCAGGTTGGCTCATGGCATGGTAAGATGGTATCTGACAACGGCAGCGGCTTGTGGCGTCTCACACCCGTTCTGCGCCGTGTCTCATCACGCCGTGGCTCAGCACAGTCTCAGAAGCAAGTGAGACGAGACAGTCGCGCTCCTTGGCGCAGCAACTATGCCGTTGTGAGACCGAGTGAGACGAGGATTGCCGCTTGTTCACCGTGAGACGAGTGTGAGACGCTCTGAGATGAAATGAGGAGACGTAGTAGAGACGACAGTGTCACACAGCAGGGGTGAACATTTGTCTCACTGGTGTCTCAAACACGTCTCTGAAGGTGACTGTGCCGTGTGTGTGACATCCTTGAGACAAAGTGAGACTGTTGCTGTGACCAGGCTGAGACAACGCAGAGATCGGTGAGAGTCCGTGAGACATTACTGAGACGCATTTGTGGCACAGCGTTGAGACAGGGACGAAACACCCGTGAGACAGAGACGTCTCACCTGTTCGCCCGTTAGTTTGAGTGAGTGCGATTCGGTGTGTGCCAACCGCGACGTCGTGATATCGACCACATATATTGTTATTTTCCTTATACCGCTCTCAAAAGTATATTACCTCGCCCCACAGACTCTGGCACAGCGCGTTTACCTTCATCTCTTATGCAATTGATATCGACACCGATGTCGGTGTGCGAATTGACGAGGCCTCTCGCTCGCGTGTCCGCGTCTTTCACGACACGCGCATCGCCAATCGGGCGCTGGAGGGCCGCTCTCGCCAGCCCCCGCGCCAAAGCGGGATCGCACGTGGCTAAATCCCACTTTAACGGCCAAGGCAGCCGGCCGAGCATCGGAGAGGCTGGCCGGGCGAAGCGCGCTCACTTCGCCGCCGCAGCCTTCCCGCCCCCGTCGCCACTCGCCTCGGATCGAGAGCGCGGCGGCCGGCTCCCGTCGCCGCGCCCGCGCCCCTTGCTGCCCCGTCCCTCCCCCCGCCCCTCCGCGCCTCGCCCGCCAGCCCTCCCCGCGCGCGGGCCTATAGGAAGGCTCCGAGAAGCTTCCGAGAAGGCTCCTGTGCCGGCTGCCTCTAGCCCGCGCGATGGCCACCGGCCGGAGCCCCGCCTGGGTAGCGCTCGGTGAAGGTTTTCAGCTCCTCGATCCGCACCGGCTTGCCTGTTCACGGGGCGAGCCTGTGAAGAGACGCCGTCCAGCCCCGCCCTTCCACCGGCTCCGGCATCCGGCTTGCCCTCGAGGGTGAAGATATCGGGCTTCTCTTCGAAGCTCTTGAGGGCGAAGCTCGCGGCGGCCTGCGAAGTGAAGGTGACCATGGCGTTGCCTGCCGGCAAGTCGGGAGGGGAAGGGGGTGAGCAGGGGAAGCCGGGGACATCGGAGCCGGCATCTGCGGCTGCCGTGGTCGCGGCAGCTGATGCTCTTGACCTCTCCGAACTGCGCGAAGAAGGGGCTCAGCTTGGCAGCGTCGTGGATCGTCGAGTGCACCTGCGGTGGGTTAGAAGAGGGGGGGGGGGGGGGGGAGCGGGTTCGACTCCGGGGGCGGCAGCACCGTCAAGGCAAGAGTGGGTCGGCGAGGGGAGAGAGGCGACAGAGGCCGGAGAGAGGTCGGACAGAGGCCGGAGAGAGGTCGGAGGCAGGCCGGAGGCAGCGCCGCAAGTCCGCACCGAACGGCAGAAGACGCCGTAGGACCACTCCTTTGGCCGCTGGTCCACCCGCGACGGCGCACTAGAGCTCGTCGTCGCGGCCGGCGGCGCGCTCTCCGCCGCCCCTGATGCAACCAACCACAGACTCTCAACAAAGGGTGGCAGCCAAGCTGGCGGCGCGCCGGTCGCCCGCACCGTCGCTGGTGTCCGCCTCCGCCTTGCCCGCGGTCACTGCAGCCGCCGTCGCCTTGTTCGGCTTGGGCGCCGGCGCCGGCGCAGCCTGCTTGGTGGCCGCCGCCGCCGCCCTCGCCGCCCAAGACATGGGACCGGGCGGCGGCGCGGGCGGCGCGTCGGCGGCGGCTTCTGCAGCCCCGTTCTGGGTCGCTGCTGCCGGCGGCGCCTCGGCGGACCTCCCCACGCCGTTCGGCGCCTTTGCCGCCTTCTTCTCCGCGGCGGGCGGCTCCGCGCGCAGCGCGGGCGGCGCGGGCGGCGCGGGCGGCTCCGGCTCGGCGTCAGTCTGCTCAAGCTCTGCAGCTGGTTCGGGCGGCGGCGGCGGCGGCGGCGCTAGCGGAGGGAGGAGCGGCTGCAGAGGCTCGGGGTCGGGGGGATGCTCCTGCGGCACCGCCACCGGCGACAACTGCTGCTGCTGCTGCTGCTGCTGTTGGTGGTGGTGCTGCTGCTGCTGCTGGGGTGGCGCGGGCGGCTGCGGCTGCGGCGGCGGGTGCTGGTGCGGCGGCTGAGTGTGCTGTGGTGCTTCTCCATGGAAGGCGTCGTCAACTGGGGGGAGGGGGGGGGGGGGGTTGACCCGGACAGGGAGGGGAGGGGAGGGGGGTGGAGAGGAGCAGCGACGCACATGCAAAGATGTTGTTTCGGAGGTAAAAGGCGTACGAGTCGTCGGGGCTCATCTTGCCGAGGATGAAGGTCTGGCGGAAGGGGTGGCAGACGGACTCGTTGGCGCGCGCGAAGGTGCCCACCACCATGATGACGATGCCTGCAGCGTAGGGCGAGCGGAGGAGGAAGAGGGGGGGGAGGTCCGCGAGGCGTCTCTGTTTTGCGCCACGAGTACGGCCGATCCGGCACCTTCCGCCGACGACTGCGCGACCAGGTGCTGGATGCACGCGAGGCCTGGCAGAGAAGCCACTCCCTCGGGACCGGTGGGGCGGGGGTGGGGAGGGGGGGGGGCGAGGATGGCAGCGCCCCCTCGTGGAGACAGGCGCGGGGCGGTGCAGCGGGCGGTGCAGCAGGCCGGCACCTCCTTGAAGGCCGAGGGAGACGATCTTTTCGTGAATCAGGTCGGCGCCCAGAATGGGCTCTTCCTTCGACGACGTCTGCGGGGCGCGGGGGAGGGGGTCGATGGGAGTGCCCGCCCCCCAGGGCGTGGCGCGGCAGCATTCGCGCCTCGAGGTGCGTCATCACCGAGTCGGCGCCGTAAAACTTGCGGACGAGCTCCGGGTCTTTGTGTATCGCGGCGTAGTACTGTTCGACAAAGTTGTTGGCGATGAAATCTGAGGTCAGCTCGATCTCCACTCCTGTGTCCGCACTCATCTTTTGCTTCAGAAGTATCGCGCCCTCGGAGGAGTTTCGGTGTGCCCTGCGATCAGGCGAGAGGGTAGTACTTTTCACGGACGAGTGACGGGGCGTGTGGTCGCGACTGAGAGGCCGCGGCACTCCGCCGGGTGGATCGCGCTGGCACGCGGGGGCGCAGCGGCCGGCGTGGTGCTGTGCTGGGTGGCAAGCACTGTGGGTAGTGCGCTTTCTTTTCCCCCAAAAATATCCCCCCTCCGCCCTCCCTTAGAGGGCGGCGCGACCATCTGTACTGACCCGGTCTCTGGCCGTTGATGCAGCGCAATGGTCGCGCCGCCCTCGACTCAAGGGGCTGCCTTCCATCCGCCGCTGCTCAGGCCGGGGGAGGGGGGGAGACCTCCTGTTCCTCGCGGAACGGGAGCGGGCCCCTCCTTGCCCGGTCTGCGAAGCAGGGCGGTGGTCGTGCCATCTTTGCTTCAAAACGACCACGCCGCAATCGTCGCCGGCGCGCGACACGTTTCCGTTGGCGGGACTGTCCTGGTCGAGAGTGTGTGCCGCTGAGGCGGGACCACTCGGGGACAGTGCTGACGGGACGCGGCTCGAAGGGCGTGGCTCCGCAGCGCGGCTGGCACTCGTCGCAGAGGCCTCACCTTCGAAAAGTCGGGCATGGCTCCACCCGCAACTTTGTCGCTAACACGCGCGCACCGCCGAGCCTGCGGCGGGCGCGCTGCGGCCGCACGTCTACTTCGTCATAGTGCCACGACGTGCGGCCTAGATTTAGCCCACGCGCCTCAACTTGCATACGCTCATACATTGGACTGTCATCGCTTGTGAGTGCGAGAAGGGCTAGCTGTAGGCAGCTAGCCTCTGAAGAGCGCGTCCATAGACACCTCACTAGACCCCACATACGGTCTCGTCCGTGCCTCGCAGGCCGGTGAGATTGCTAGAGGTGGAGCAAACTGCTCTAGCCTCACATATCACTTCCTGTCGTCTGTTGTTTGAGTTGTGCCCTTGTTTGTGCCCTTGGCACCGTGGAGTGCTGGGGGGGGCGACAGGGAGGATGTGGCCCTGAGTTATGTGTACGCCGACTCAGGGTGTGTGGCAGCCAGCTGGCTGTGTGTCTTGTGAGCTTGTTTGTGTCTGTGTGTCGCTCGTGCGTGTCGTCATCATCTGTCTAGCGTCCACCCATACCGCGTTGGTGTCCAGTCCGAGCCTGGCTGTTCTTCACCTTACTACCTACCTACCTACCCTTAGAGCGAACCCAGAGCGCGGAGCTCCCTTGGCAGACCCGTGTTTACTTTATGGCCCCTTCCGCTTCCCTGCGAACGCGCACCCCGAGGCTATCCCCCAGGGCCAGGCCTGCCTCCCTGCCTGCGTGCGTGCGAACGACAAGGAGCGTCTGCGAGACTGCGAGCTCGGGGATCGCCGGCATGAAAGACCGGAAGCATCGCGCAAGAGGCGCTGCAGATAGCTTTTCATTCTACTCAGAGCGCTGGTTGAGGCCGATTGCCTCAACTGTCAACCACGTGGTTGACAGAGGCCTCAACCCTCAACCAAGTGGTTGACAGACCCCTTCAACCCCTCAACCACGCGGAATGGCTGTTCACACCCCCCGCGCAGAGGTCTGAACACACATTCTCTGTGAACCATTCATGTCGTCTTCTTTAACGCCTGGATGCTGCATCACACCTCCCATTCACGCACGTAGCTGAAGCAAGTATCGTAAAAACGGCGCGTCGAAGGCCCCCGCACGGGGGGATCCTGGCCGACGTCATGGTCGTCCGCGGACGCGGCCCTCCGTCTCCGGAGACATTACCGAACTCAAAACTGCTTACCAAAGCCAGATACGAGCTCAGCTCAGTGAGATCTAGCAGCACATACCCTCAGTATCCAGAATAGCAAAGTCTGAAAAAGTCGGTCCGACCGCGCAGAGACTGCCTGTGAGTAGCGCAGCCGCGCGGTCGCCCGAGGAGTTGGGATGATAGGTGGAGAGACAGGTGCGACCGTACCTGGGTATGGCGCAGGCTGGTGGCTAGGGTTAGCTGGGCGCGCACGGCGAGTCCAGTCACATTGCCGCCCCGCAACAGCGATGTGAGTGGTCTCTCAGTGCGCGCTCTGCGTCCCTAGAACGTGGCGTGGCGTTGATGCTGAAGCAATAAAATTGTACTATATCAGGCAGTGAAGCATTAGCCGTCAATTTTGCAAGCCCGGCTTGCAAAGCCGTTCGGAGCGCCTGATTCGAGCGAGTGGAGGCAGGTTCGAGACCTGGTGGGGGGGTTTGGGGGGGTCGCCCGTCGCCCATCGGACCATCAAGGGATCCATCAAATCCATCGAATCTGTCGACATCTGTCGACAGCTGGCGCGGCTCACGCCGGCCGCTGCGCCAGAATTTTTTTTTGTGCTGAGCACAGGGTTGGTTGTGCCGGGCCGCCCCCGCGAGAGAAACTCGTCAGTAAAACTCTCGGGCGGCCCGGCTGTCTGAGGCTGGCACGCAATGGCAAAAGCCCGCGGCTCGTCGCCAAGGAGTTACGAAGTTTTTTCGTGGTATGGTATAGTGGTATGCGAAAGTGGTATGCGGGGATTTCATTAGTTGTAGCGGCTGTCGGTGTGGTCCCGGGGGCGAAACCATGCAAAAGTGCGGGTATTACCCGGGTATACCCGGGTTTTTCCAGGTATACCCGCAAAATACCCGGTATTTTGCCGATTTTGCCGATTTTGCCACCAAGAAGGCACTCCGACTCGCTTTGATTTCCGTGAGGCAACTGGTATCCCGTACCACTTTTTGATTAGTGCAGGCCTTGGGTTTGATTAGCCAAAAACTCCCATACCGGTAAAGTTTGAGCACTGGCAACTCTCGATAGAGCTCTCTGTCCTCTCTATCCGCCCCCCGGGCGGCGCTGGGGAGGGCCTGGGGGTGACGGGGTGCTGGGGGTGTCAGGAGGCTGTCACGTGTCAGGACCTGCGCCACATGGTGAAGTCCTGACACTCCTGTGTGACGCGGCCCCTGACGGTGACGCTCGGAGTTCGGACCGCGCCGTCCAGGCAACCAGGGCTCATGCATCCCGCCGTCTGCTGTCCTCTGGCCGAGGTTTATTTCTTTTTTATGGATTCTGTGCACAGCAGCACCACGAGAACCACAAGCAACGACGTAACGCTTTTGTGCGAAAGCGCCGTGAACAGGACAAGAGCACCCGACGACCGCGCATGTCGCATGTGCGGCCAAGGCTGCCAATGAAGGCGGGGAGTCTGCGCTTCGCGCGCTCCTTCCCCGCGCACGGTGTTGTCGACAAGCCAAGCTATTGGACGCCCGAGAGCCAGGCCATCTCGTCGTCGGCGCGGTAGAAGACGGAGCAGCAGTGGGGCGCCGCCCTCGCCACCCAGAGCGACTCGTCCAGGTAGGTTGTGCTCAGCCGGAGCCGGTCATACTGCTCGCCCTCCACCAGAGCGAACTCGGGCGAGAGCTGTGCGTGCAGCGCCTCGACCAGCGCGTCGATCGAGCACCCGAGGTCGTTGGTCTTGAGCGCGAGCCGAGGCGGGCGGGCGGGCCGGAGGGCCAACAGCCTCGCGCCCGTCACGCTGTCCGACTCGAACGCGAACCGCGACTCGACGTCGAGCAGCGCCCCCACCTGCTTCCGCTCTCCATCGAGCAGCTGGAACCAGGCTCGCGAGCGGACCGTGCTGTTGCCGATGCTGAGGGCGGTCTCCGCGCGGGCGATGCCGATCGGAAGCAGCCCGCCCGCCGCGCCGCCGGCGCCGCTGGCCGCGGCGTGCGCGGGAGACATTCCCGGCTCGAGCAAGCCTGCGTTGCGGATTGTCGCGCACAGCGCCCACCGTCCCTGGAGGCCCAGCTGGAGAAAATCCTCAGTCGTGGGCGTCGTGCCTGCCGCCTCGAGCTGACCGATCAGCGCCATGTGCTCCGCGTTGAGCAGGCGCGGCGGACTGTTTGGCTCGAGCGAGCGCAGCAGAGCGCTCCGCGCGGCCAGCCGCGGCGAGGAGGCGGCGCTGGCGGTCGAGACGACCGACAGCGCGGGCGCGGCGAGAAGGGCCAGCATGAGCGTGCAAAGCGCAGCCTTTCTTGGTGTGTAGGTATATCTTGGTGTTGTAAAGGTATGTTGTTTTTTCTTGGTGCTTGTTGCCGGTTGAAGCTGAGAAATAAAAAGAACCCTTCCTCGTCGACTCGTCGGCGCCTTGCGGACGGAACGACCCCGACCACCGCCGGTCCACGAACCTTTTCTGGGGGATGGAGGACTTGATATTCCTCGACCTCAAGAAGCCGTCAAAGGCGGACCTGCAAAAGGGCCTGTGGGCCTTCATCTCCATCTCGTACTCGCGCGAGCAGGCGGACTCGCACATGCCCGCGATCGGCGAGGTGCATTCGCTGCGCGAGTCGTCGCGCCAGATCTCGCTCAAGGCGCTCTCCGACGCGAACGCCGACGACTCGGTCGGCCTGCTCGCGCGGTACGCGCGGCTGCTCACCTCGATGGGCTCGCGCTTTGGCACCGCTGTCGACGAGGCTCTCCGCCGCACCGAGGCGCAGCTCGCCTTCACGTGGAACGACGCGCTCCGCCCCGAGGCGAAGTGCACGCTCTCCCAGCTCGGCTTTGAGCGCGCCTGTGCCATGTTCAACCTCGCGGCCGCCCTCTCCTACCGAGCCACCATCCAAAACACGGCGGACGCCGACGGCCTGCGCGCCGCCTGCCAGGACTTCCAGCACGCGGCGGGCTGCCTCGACGCCGCCGTCGGCTCCGCGGCGGGCACGCGGTGGGCGACGTACAAGGGCCTCACCCTCGACGTGCGTCCTGCCGCCTTTGAGGGATTCCGCGCGCTCATGCTCGCCCAGGCGCCGCTTCCGGCGGCCCTCTTCGGCGCGGAGCCCGCTCTCTGCTGAACTGCTGAACGCGTCTCGGAGCCCCGGCTGCAGGCGCAGCGGTGCTTCTTTGAGCGGGCGTCTCGCGACGCGATGAAGGGCGCGGTGGTCGCGAAGCTGGCGGCGCAGGCGTACACCTTCTGCAAGGAGGCGGCCTTGCGTTGCTATGCGTCTCAGTCTCGCTCCTCGGGCACCGCAGGTGGGACTCTTCTACAAGGAGGCGGCCGGCGCCCTCAAGGCGAGAGAGAGAGCCGAGATGGAGCCGAGATATGGCCGGCGAACTCAAGGCGAGCCGCCTCCTAGACGCCTACGGGCGTAACACCCCCCCCCCCCCCTCCCCCCTCCCCCCCCTTTCCCTTCTTCCCCGCCCCTTCCTGCAGGCGCTGCGTGACGCGTGCGAGCGCGAGGGCCCCGGCGGGGACGCGGTGCAACCAGCAGGGCGTCGCCGGCGGGAGGAGGGGAGCGGGCGGCGTCTCTTGACGCGTGCGGGTGTGGGCAGGTGGAGGGGCCCGCCAAGAAGAAGAAGGCCAACCCGTACTTCCAGGACCCAAAGGCAAACATGACTCGCGACGAGCGAGAGCGGTACCAGGCCGAGACGGCGGACAAGGTCGCGCCGCCGCTGCTCCTCTCCCTCATCGCGCAGGCGGAGGCGCAGGCGACGCTCTTCGAGTCGTGGGCCCAGTTCCGCGCACCCTCGGACCGCGAGGACGCCTCCAGGACACGCCCATGACATGTCGCGACATGCGCGCAAGGTTCCACGCCGCCTCGGAGCACGAAGACGCGTACGAGTACGGATCGCAGGCGAGAGCCACTTGCTGGACACTTGCTAGACACTTGCTAGACACTTCCTAGACACTTCCTAGAGACTGACCCTGGCCCTGACCCCTGACTCCGGCCGCCTGCGGCTGCGCGGCTCGCAGGTGGCGCGGCTGCGGCGCGCCTCGGAGCTCGTCGGCGAGGCGGCCGCCAAGGCGGCGGGCGTGCCGGGCGGCGAGGCGTGCGCTCTGGCGATGAACACGGCGGCGAACAGCATTCGCGAGGCCGAGGCGGTGGCGGAGAAGCACAACGCCACTGTCTACATTGAGAGGGTGCCGCCGTTCTCGTCGCTGCCGACGATCGAGCCGAAGGCGATTGTCCGGCCGACGCTGCCATCGGAGCTGGCCCCTCCGGCGCCGAGATTAGCCGAGATGTGGCCGAGATGTGGCCGAGATGTAACCCTCGGAGCCGGCCCCCTCCGGCGCCGCCGCCCAGAGGAGGGTGGTCCACGACACCGCCCCGCAGGCGCCGCCGCCGCCCGAGGAGGACGACGACGGGCGCGACTCTGCCCTCGACTCGGGCTTCGACCCGTTCGCTTCGCTCGTCCCGCTGACGGCGCTAACAAGGACAGCGCGTCGCGGCCGGCTTTCGAGAGTGTCTCCTGAGTCCCGAGACGGAGCCCGCCAGGTGCTCGAGGACGCCTCTGTCTACTACGCCTCGCGAGACGACGTGCTGCGGCAGCGCAGCGGCGAGGGCGAGCCGGGCGGTGCGAGCGGGCTTGCCGCGATCCTCCGGCGATGTGTTCGAGTAGGCAGCTCGGCGACGAGGTGGAGTCGCTCGACTCGACCGCTGAGGCGGAGATAGCGCGAGATGTAGCCGAGACGTGGCCGAGATCTAGTCGAGGCGTGGAGGTGCGGCCGAGGTGCGGCCGAGGTCGGAGTCGGTCGAATAGGGCGGGTGAGGCGGCGAGGGCTTGCTGCTGAGGAGGGTGCGACCACGACACCGCCCCGTCGGAACCCCCTCGCAGGCGGAGCTCTTTGCGATGGGGCTGCCGCACGCGCTCGCCGCCTGCGACGACGACGCGAAGCTTCCGGCGGCGCTGAGCGAGGCGGTGGCAAGGGTGCACGGCTCTGGCGGCGCGGCGGCGCTGGGCGAGATGCTCGCTAACGTCAAGCAGAAGACAAAGGCCCCCCCTTTGCTCACCAGGCCGGCGCTTCTTGAAGCCCCGCCGGAGGCTTGCTCGAGCCGTGCCCGTAGGACCTCGACTCACTCGCCATGTCGATCGACGCTCTCCTCGAGGTCGAGGAGGGCGCCGACGCGCAGCTTCACCAGCAGCACGGGGAGCGGTGGGCGTGCGTCCGCTCCTCGGCCCTTCGCCGCCGACGCACGCGGTTGTAGCTGTGAACAGCGCCTCTTCACGCGTTCGAAGCGTGAGCAGGCTCTCACCGCCGATGCGCGGCGCGAGCTGGCGCAGACGCGAGAGGAGATCGCGCAGGCGGAGGCTGCGAACGAGGCGCTCTCGACGCACCACGCCGACCACGAGGATTGCCTCTCGCTGCTCGACCTCGACGCGGGGGCGCTGGCCGGGAGGGTGCCGCAGGCGGAGGAGGGGTCGCGCCTCGCCGACCTCGAGTGCGTCGGCGACATCCGCACCCTCCTCGCCTCCCTCTCCTCCTGCTCCGAGACTCGCACCGCCGCCATCGCCGAGGCTCGCGCGCTCGCGGAGCGGGACGACATCACGGCGCGCGAGATCTAGCGGAGATCTAGCTGAGATTTGGCGGGACGCTCTCACCGGCCTCCACGGCGGGCACGTCCACGACACGTCCACACGACACGTCCACGACACGTCCACGACACGTCCACGACACGTCCACGACACACGCCCACGTCACGACCACGACACACGCCCACGACACACGCCCACGACTCGCCCCGCAGGCCCAGCTCGTGTACCGCGGCGAGGCGGCCGGCGGCTCCAACGAGCCCATCTTCGAGCGCGCGCTCAGCCGGTACGAAAAGTTCCGCGAGCGCGTGAGCCAGGCGGCGCAGCCGCAGCAGGAGGGGGCTGTCGCGTGGACGAGTCCTGGACGTGTCTCATGTCCCTGCAGGCGGCGCAGCTGCAGGAGGAGCTCCTCGTGGCGCTCAAGACTTCGAACGAAACCTTCGCAGACGCGCGCGACTCGGACCCGTCCGTGCCGGCCCGCGAGGCACCCCCGCGCAACGGCGCCCCGCTCCCGCTCTGCAGAGACGGCCTTCACACTTCGCGTCCGCTGCTCAGGCTTTCTTCGCGAAGATCGACCGTGCTCTCCGCGCGCACACCGAGCTCGAGTCGCAGCTGCTGCAGGGGCTCGAGTATTGCGGCGCCGCGGACGAGCGGCTGCAGGCGCTGCAGCAGACCGTCGTCTCTCTCGCGGGCGCGCGCGCCGTCGAGCGCGACCAGCTGCTCCAGTCCCTGCAGCAGGAGGAGCCGCCCCCCCCCTTCACGCCCTCGGTGCCGCCCTCCGTGCCGCCCTCCGTGCCGCCTCCGGCCTTCGAGGCGCCGCCGGTGCCCGCGGTCCCGCTCGCGGTGACGGTGCCGGAGCACGCGCCCCCCCTCTACCAGCCTCCGCCCGTGCTCGGCGTGTCCCCGGGCAAGTCTTCGATTCACCCGGCGGGCGAGCCCTCCCCGAGGAAGACGGTCCAGTGGCCCGACAAGGCGCACCAGCCGCAGTCCCAGCCGCCCTACGGCCCGCCGCCGGTGCCGGTGGGCGCTGGGTGGTCGGCGCCGCCGCCGGTGCCCGCCGCGCCGTCGGCCCCCCCCGTGGCGATGACTCGCTCCGAGGAGGCGGACGAGGAGGCGCTTCAGGCGGCCATCAAAGCGAGCCTCCTCGAGAGCCAAGCACCATCCTCGTCGCCCCCGCCGCCCAGCCTGCCCTCCGCACCGCCGCCGCCCGGCGTGCCGCACGCGGCGCCCCCTCCCTCGTTCCAGCCGCCACAGCCTCCCTCGTTCCAGCCGCCCCCCTTCGCGCCCCCGCCTCCACAGCCGCCGCCGTCCTTCTCGCCGCCCGGCCCCGCCGCCCCGTCCTTCCAGCCGCCCCCGCCGCTCCCGCCCCCGTCCTTTGCGGCCGCCTCTCCGCCTCGCGGCCCGCCGCCGCCGCCCGCGCCGCCTCCTCCGGCGGCCGCCCCGCCGCCGGGAGCAGACGAGGAGGCGCAGCTCGCGTGGGCGATGGCGGAGTCGATGAAGATAGCAAGCGCGCCGGCTCCGGCACCGCCGCCACCCGCCGCCACACCCTTTGGCGCCCCGCCGTCCTTTGTCCCCCCTCCGCCACCGGTCGCGCGCGCGCCCCTGTCTCCGTCGAAGCGGCCCACTCGTCCTGAGGCTGGCGCTCTTGCCTACAGGTCGCACCCGCTGTCATGGCTCCGCCGCCAGCAATGCCGGCGAGCTTCGCTCCGCCCAGCGCCCCGCCGCCCTATGTGCCTCAGCTGCCGGCGTACCAGCCTCCGCCCGCGGCTCCGCCGACTCGCGCCTCCTCCCCACCGCCCGTCATGCCGACGGCACTCCCCGCCGCGCCGGCCGGGGCAGCCCTCGTTGTGGCACCGACCCCCCGAGACAAGGCGACGTCCTCACCGGCTCGCGCGTTTCTCTCTCCAGGCGTCACTCCCCCCTCCGGCTCCCTTCGGGGCCATGCCTGCACCGCCGCCTCCGTTTGGCGGCGCAAGCGGTCCGCCCATGCCCGAGGTGCGGCCGCCTCCCGGCTTCGCTCCGCCCCCCGGCGCGGGCGGCTTCGCCCCGCCGCCGGGAGGGTTCGCTCCTGCGGCGGGAGGGAGCCCTCCGCCTGCCGGCGGGCCGCCGCCGCCTCCGTACGGCGCTGGAGTGCCCATGAGCGGGAGCGGGGGCGGGGTGAGCGCGCCTTCGTATCAGCCGCGGTGGTGACACTCTCTCGAGGATCGACGGGCACGTCGATGGCTCCTGGCTCGTGCCTGGAGAGGACAAAGACACACGAAGTGTGAGGAGGAGAGAGGTTGCAGAGAGTAGGGCGAGGATAGGGGAGGGAACTCCAGGTGGTGATGATCTTTGGCGGGTGAGTCTCGTGTTCTCTGTGGCCTGAGTGCGCTGTGCCCCCGGGAGGAGAGCCGGAACCTCTTCGACACGCACTTTTGAGTAAGAAACGCGGAGTTTTGTCTTTTTTGAGAGTCATTTCACGCATTTGAAAGTCAGAAAATTGACAGACCACAAAGGGGCCACCGCCAAAGAATACCCCGTTGTTGAAAAAAGTTCACAAACGCCGCCGGCCGCTCACAACGTGCTACGTGCACCACTGTCCCTGTCCATGATAGAGAGTACACATCCGGGACCGGCTCTCACGACAAGAGCCCGCCGTTTCCGTCGTCCCCCTTGAGACTCTTCATGCGGTCCTCCATGTCGCGGCTCATCTGGTCCTGCGCCTCCTTCTCCCACACGGCCAGCTTGCCCTCCTCGTGCGCCTTGTTCTCCACCTCCTCGAGCTGCCAGACCGACACGGTGCCCCGGTCCCACATCATGTCCTACAGGGCAGGACCGCGGCTCGTGCAGCGAGAGAGGGCCTCGGCTGCGGCGGGCGGAGGGGCGCGCGCGCGCCTGCTGCTGCCGCGCGGTCACCTCCTCGCCTCCCGCGATCTCGAGCGCCACCTCCTCCGCCTCGAGCGAGATCATCTCGAGCCGCTCCACGAAGCCTGTGTCGTACTCCTCGTCGACGTTGCCAAACCGGCCCTTGATCTCCTTGAAGGCCTGCGCGAGGCGGCGCGAGTCGACGTCCGGCTCGCCGTCGTTGTCCGCCGCCTCGAGGTCGTTCCGCGCCGCGTCCTCGACCGAGGTGGCCATCACGAGCGACGTCCGCTGCTTCGGCGTCATCTTCTCCTTGAGCAGCTGCAAGCGCGCCGGCTTTGACTCCATCCGCAGCAGCTGCCGCACCAGCGCCATGTCGGGAGGCACCTTCTTGTCGAGCTCCTCCATCACGCGCTGCTTGAGCTTGCTCAGCGCCGCCACCGCCCCCTTCCCCGCCTCGCCCGCCTCCGACGCACGCTGCAGGTTCGCCTCGAGCAGCTGCAGGAGCGCGTCGTCGAGCTTGCCCTGCCGCGCGAGCCCCGTCATCCGCCCCTCCATCACGACGGCGGAGGGCGAGGTCAGCACGGATTTCAGCGCCTCCGCGGCCTCGCCCATCCGCCGCGCCATCTCCGACTTGAGCGCCACGTCCACCTCCTCTATCCTGCCCGCCTCGTCCGACCCTGGCGCCGCCTGCGCCTTGGCCTCCTCGAGACGCTGCATGAAGCCGTAGTCAAAGAGCGCGTAGTTCTTGGCGACCTCGTCCGCCACCTTGTTCTCCGTCTCCATCAGCGTCCGAAACATGATCCTGTACGTCTCCTCCGAGTCGATCCGCTGCTCCGGCGCATCGGCCGGCCCGGCACGCCGAACCTCTGACGAGGGCTCGTTGGGGTCGATGATGTTGGCAACGGGAGCCACCGCGCGGCGGAGGGTGGTGGACTGGAGCCCACTGCTCCGGGCGAGGCAAGGAGGCTGGTACCCCGCGACTGCGCTGGCGAGGGCGGCGAGCATTTGCAGAGATCGAAGTGGAAAAAAGAATTCCTGACAACGCGCCAACATTAAAGTGTCAGAAACGAGAGTGGACCTGAGCAACGATATGACTTGGCGGCAAATGATCGGAGTGGGTGTCAGAAGAGTCGTCGTCCTTTGCGCGAGGAGAGCTTGATAAACTCGACAGGACCATCGGGTCCTTCAGCCACCAAAGCGAGATCACCCGAGAGCAGCTGAGTCTGCCTCTGGCCTCGCCTCCCTCTCCTCCAGGCATTCGTGGCATCCTATGGGTCGTCCAGAGTATCGACCTCTGGCTTGTCAGCCGGTCACTTGATGACACCATGAAGTACAGCGATCGCCACCTCGCTGGCCTCTCCGCAGGCCCCCCCGACCGCGTCGAACTCATCGGCGCGGGCTCTCTCGGCTACGGGACCGGCCCCAGCTTCGGCTGAGGGCTAACAAGCTGCCGAGCCCAAATCTCTGTGCACTTCGAGCACTTGGAGTGCAGTGAGCGTCGTGAAATTTCTTGTTGGTCTTCAAAAATCTCTCTCTAAACTCGAGGCACGAGGGAGGGGCCAAACAAAATATGCCGCGAGGAGGGCAGAGCTGCGCCGAGAGGCGGGAGAAGCCGCGAGAGCAAGGGATCGGCAGGCGGCGCGGCGGCGTCGCAGAACGAGGCAGAGGAGAGCGACGTGACAGAGGAGGAAGCGACAGGAGGGAGAACGACGAGAGTGGGACGACCGCAAGGTGGCATGAAGGTTGCAGCGAGAATCGGCGAGGGACTGCGAAGGGAGATAGGAAGAGGCAGACGCCCAAGGGTGGGCGACGACTAACAACACACCTTCCTTCCAGTGAAATCCCTGTGTGGTGGCGGCGTGCCGTCCTCCCATCCCTCTTTTGGAGCACGACTTGGAGTGTGCAGTTTTGGGTTGTACGTTTTCTTTCTTTCTTTTTCGGCGAGGGACCACTGGCACTGCGAAGAGAGATAGGAAGAGGCAGATGGGCGACGGCTAGCAACACACCTTCCTTCCCGTGAAATCCCTGTGTGGTGGCTGGTGGCGGCGTGCCGTCCTCCCATCCTCCCTCCTTGTGTGTGATTTCCCCTCCTTTGGTTGTCTGTTTCTTTCTTCAAATTGTCGTGCCAGTGTGCTGTGAGAGAGGCTTGTATTTTAGAATTCTTCAAATTCAAAATAAAAATCTCTATATCAAATTCTTTCTTCCTTTTGAGAGAGGCTTGTATTTTAAGAATTCTTTTGGGGTTGCCATAGATCCTCGCCAGGCGTAGGCTCCTCCTCTCCCTCGGAAGCGGAAAAGAAAACCAAAAGGCCGTTACAACGTTCAGAACAGACATGCAGCGCCCGGCGTCCGCCGCCTCGGCCCGTGGTGCACGGGCGGTCGACCAGGAGAGCGTCCTCGCAATGCACCGTGTGCTCTTCAGCTCGGAGCGCGAGTTTCCTTGCGCGTGGGCGCGGCAGGGCTTTGCGTTGCGCGGAGGCAGCTTCGCCTGCGGGCTGAAGCAGCATCAGGGTGGGCCTTGCGGCGTGCTCGCCGTAGTGCAGGCGATGCTGGTGCGTCACATCTCTGTGGGCGGCGTTTTGGCGGCCAGCTCCGAGGCGGCCGCCTCCAGGCTGATCGACAGCCTCGCCGGCATCGTGTGGTCAGCGCGGGTGGGCCGGCTTGCAACTGTGGTGAGCTGTCGCGCGCCCGAGCTGCCGCCGATGCGGGAGGCGGGAGACCACCTCGTGCAGACCTCCTGCCGGTCGGAGGAGGAGGTGCGAGGCGCGATTCAGGCGGCGGCAGGTGCGTACACCCGCCCGTCCGGCGGCGGCGTGGCCTTGTTGCTCTACTCGATGCTCCTCACACGGGGGCTGGCGATGGTGGCACGCGACGCCGACTTCCCTTCGCCACTGGTCTTGCCGAACGGGTACTGCGCGCAGGAGCTCGTCAACTTCCTCCTGTGCGGCCGCGCCTACTCCAATGTGTTTGACGGCGAGAGGGTGGTCGGCGAGGACGGCGATGGCTCGCCCACTCGCCTGCGCGGCATCCCTCGCCCGGTGCCGGTGGGCTTCCTGACTCTCTTTGAGCGGCAAGGCTCCCTGCTTCCGGCCCTGAGCGGCGGAGACAGCGCGGAGGGCTGCGTCACGGTTGGCTCCCACCTGAAGCAGCCAGAGCACCCGGTGTACGTGATCCAGTCCGAGGCGCACTATTCGGTGCTTTGGCTCGCCTCCGACGCTCCGCCCGAGCTGGATGTGGCCGACACGTTTGACGTCCTCTACTTTGACCAGCTCGCGGAGGCGGAGCATCCCACCCGGCTCACGCTGCGGCGCGGACACTCGCCTCCGTCCCATCCTCCGCCACTGGAGAGCGTGCTCCTTACGCGGTGGCCCGCCGCCGCGGTCGTCGACTGGAATGGTGCCGAGCCTCTCCTCTGACGGGGCACTACGCAAAAGCCTCAGACGTGGCGGCTCTCGGCGGGGACTGAGCCGGGGAGAGCCAGAACCAGACGGCCCCAGCCGTTGAGAGAGACATCACGCTCAGTCTCAGACCTTCTGTCCGCGGCGCGGCCCCGTGCGCGCTCATATGCAAGCGGCCCGCCGCGCGAGCGTAGCGTCATGGGTCAAGGCGTAGAGCTGGAGAAGTAGGGGGAAAGCCGCGCTGTACCCTCACCGGGACCCGCCGCGCGCGCGTCCGCGTGTGGCGTGTGTGGCCCTCTGTCGCCTCTCGCCTGTGTACGACTCGGGCATGAGTCAAGGCAAAAGCGGCGTGTGAGATTGCGTGATTCAAATTCATTTTACGCCACAAACAGTACCCAGTTCGGAGAGGCGTGTCATAGGGGAGGAGAGAGTGTGGACTGTGGAGATGTTTTGTGCGGGTGCCGGGCGAGCGCGGCCGCGGGACCAGGCCGCGCCCGAGTCCCGCCTAGTGTCGCCGGAGCAGGTAGCTCCCTTTTTCGTAACAGGAACAGCTTTTCACAAACAGTACCCACACGATGGATCGACAACACAGACCACGACAGTCGATATATAGTCCCGGACCACGTCACTTTCTGCGTTTCTTGCTCTCTGCTGCCAGCAGAGGCTTCGGGCCGGTGGTGTCTGCCTTCCGAATGAGCTTCAGCTGCTTCCGGCTCATCTTCTTGAGCTTCCGGCTGTCGGAGATCTGCGGCGCGAGCACGCGAGGGCGTAAGTCTGCCTTGCCGCGGCAGTATGGGCGGGCGGGGCGGGGTTGCTGCGCGCACCACTTGATACTGCAACCCCTTCGCCTTGTTCTCCTCCTTTCGCTTCTCCTTCTCCTCGCGCCGCTCCTGCGCCAGCTGCGACGCGGCGGCGCGGGGGGGGGGGGGGGGGCGAGGTGAGAGGGCGACGGCAGGACCGCGCACAGCAGGCAGGGGTCACACCTTCTTCTGCTGCCGGATCTGCTCGTCCACCTCCCGCTGCGCCGCCTGCGCCACGGCTCGCTCGGCGCGCTCCTGAGACCGCTTCGCCCAGGAGGTGTGCGCAGCCGGTCCGACGGTAGACGCCGAGCCCCTGCGATCCGGCGGTGGGACCGGCGGTGGGCGCGGCGCTCATAGACAGCGTGAGCGCTGGGCCGCGTGGCAGCGCACTTTACTGTGGCAGCGCTCTTCCAGGAGCGCACCTTCCCCATCGGAGCGCCTACGGCGTGCGAGAAAGCGTTTGGTGTCCACGCACATGGCCAACGAGGTCGCGCGGGGTTTCGAGCGCGTGGGTGTGCCTGCTCGAAAAGAATTTAAGTGACGGGCAGCACGACGCCAACCCCGACGGCCCGACGGAGCGGCGGTGCGAGGAGGCGATGCACCTCTCGCAGCGGAATGGCGGCTTCGGCTGGGCGCACCCACGACTCATCGCGCCGGCCGCTTCGACTGGGCGCGTGCTCGACGTCCTCTATCTGCTGCGGCGGCTCGAGGACGTGTCCCCATTGGTGCCGCCCCCGAACGAGTGGGCCGCGTCCGGCGTGCCGATGCTCGAGGAGGCGATCGCGTTCATCGAAGAGCTTGTAAGCAATTCGGCGGGCTTCAAACAAGGCCCGGACAGCGACGCCGACGACTGGAGGTCCCTCCGCAACAAGATCGTCGCGGACGACGGCTCCGTCGACTACAAGGGGATCGAGCAGGTCTCGGGGCGCCACTTCCAGCACGTCGCCAACAACGCCCTGCAGCAAGACATGTTCGACGCCATCGTCAACGACCCGAAGGTACACCTGGCGACGCGAGCGCACTTCCGCTCGACGAAGCAACTCGGGGCAGGCGCGGTGCTCGGCATCGACGTCGTCCACAAGGACGTCGAGCTGAAGGAAGGCGAGGAGGAAAAGAGGGCGGCGGCGGCGAGTGTGGCGGCGGCGAGGGCGGTGGCGGACGTGGCGAGGGCGGTGGGAGAGGAGGCGAGGGCGGCGAGGGAGGAGGCGAGAGCGGTGGTGGCGGTGGTTTGGGAGGTCGTCGAGGGGGTGGATATAGTGGCGAGGGCGGTGGCGATGGTGGCGAGGGCGACGGCGAGGGCGGCGGCGAAGGTAACAGCACCGGCCACGACGGCGGCGGCGATGGTGGCAAGGGTGGCGGCGAGGGTGGCAGTGGCGGCCACGGCGGGGTCGGCGGCGGCGGGGTCGGCATCATGCCAGGCGGGTAGGGCGGTGGAGCGGGCGGATGAGGCGGCAAGGCGAGCCAGCCCCCACAAACGCAGCACTTTTCGATGGCCTTGCCCTCGCCATTGCGAGGAGCAGCATTGCCGTAGAGATCGCACCAGCCTGCGTTTGCGAAAGCGGCACAGAAGTTGTAGCCGTCGTGCCATTTTGTTCCAGATAACGCACCCGGGAGATCTGTGCACGACGTTATGCCGCCTTGAAGCAAGAGGGACATCCGTCGCCCTGAAACCGCTGCCGCCGTTAACGCCTTCTTTCACTTTGGTTCGCCTGAGGGATAGAGAGACGCTGTTCACATAACGCACAACCAGGGCCCCGAAATCGCACAGTGACAGTCAGACATGCAACACGACGCTGTTCGCACAACAACACAACCCCGGGACCCAATACGCAAAGGACAGTCGAGAAGGGAGAGACGCTGTTCACATAAACCTTTTAACTCGCCGGGCCCGAAATCGCACAGTGACAGTCACGCAACACGGCCGGGGTCGAAGGCGAGCAAATCCCCTATCGCGCGCGCTAGCTTCAACTTGATCCTTTGCTCTCCCTAGAGGTTGCTATACTCCAGCTGCCGGCACCTGACCACCTCGAGCTCGTACGCTCGCGCGCGGGGGTCGTGCCGCGTGTCCTGAGCTGCTCAGCGGAGGCGAGCCACTCAGCCATGCACTCCTGGCACTCCGCCAGGCTGCGCGGCTTGCTCAGCAAGTCGAAGTCGTTGGTGCCGCCGTACTCGCGGAGCAGCTGCGAGGGCTCGACGAGTTCGCGCAGCTTCGCCTCGAAGTTGGATCCGTAGATCTGCACCTTCCTTGCGGTTTCCGTGTCGAGCCAGCCGCGTATCATCCGCCACAGCGCTGTGAAGATCATCGGCGCGTTGACAAACACGAGCGCTCCCAGCGTCTCGGGGTAGTACCGCTGTATCACGAGGAGAAAGTCCTTGAAGATGGAGATGGCGCGGGGATCGGGCCAGTAGTTAAGGCCCTCGAGGTCCATCAGCACGAGCTGCTTCGCCACAGGCCGCCCCAGCCGCTCCGTCGCCTCGGCGGCTCGGGCCGCTTGCACCTCTTGGCACCAGACCCAGCCCGCGACCAGCGCGTCTCTCGCCTTGTCGCCGTCGCCAAAGTGCCTGTACGCTTCGTCGAAGCGGCCGCTGGCGAGGCCCACCTTTTGGATGTAGATGGGCCGTCCCTTCCGATCGCTCCCAAAGAAGGCGTTGAGGCCGTAGTAGAAGCGCGCGCCGAGGTCGTCCAGCGGCGCGACGACCCGAAGCTGCGGGAAGCACTCGACGGCCCCGCTCTCACCTACGGGCGTGTGCGCCGGCGAGGCGGGCGCCTCGTCTCGGTAGCGGCCGACGCGGTTGTCTTGCCGCCAGCGCTGTGCCTCTCGATATTGTGCCAGCGCGGCGTCGACCTGAAAATTGCGCGCGCGCAGGAAGCGAAGGAGCGTCGCATCGTCGCACGTGCCCGGGTCGAGGTGGGCTTTCATCGAGTCGAGGGCTTCGGCTTCGGTTGCGTCGATGTCGACGAAGTCGCTGCTCCGGCTCCTCAGGCTGGGACGCGCTGGGCGCCAGCGGCGACTGCGCAGCAGCAGCAGCAGCAGCGCAGCGAAGATGCCCAGAGCGGTGGCCGCAAAGGCGAGGGAGTTTCCCGCGCTCGAGCCTTTGAAGGCGTCGTTGCTGGGCGCGAGCGTGGACCTGGGGCGGCGAATGACTGACGGGAAGCGGAGCTTTGGGAGCATGCGGTTTGAAGCTCGACGCCGACTTGCAGGCCGCACCGGTCAGGCGCGCAGCCGCAGGGCGGAGAGAGTGGGCGGCGGTTGGTCAATCTCCCACCGTTCCATCATCTCGACGCTGTTCACATAAACGCACAACCCCGGGGTCGAAATCCCACAGTAACAGTCAGAATGCAGCACGGGCCGACGCTGTTCACATCAGATTTCACGGGCATCATTCTTCACCTCGCCCCCCTCTATCCTCTTCTTCTTCCTTCCTCGCACCTCGGTCGGCGACGGGCACTCACATGACATGCACATGCACATACATGTACATGTACGTACTTACTTTTCTTGCTTGGCTGCCGCGTGCGTGCGTGACCGCTCCGGGACGCGCGCGGCTGCCTGTCTGCGCAGCGCTGTGGGGATGGGCCGGCTAGGCGAGGTGTGCGTTGCGCGGTGGCAGTAAAAAGAAAAAAACGCGCTTAAAGTTTGTACCCCGGGTACCCTGTGGGCTAACCTCGGAATGGAACACCCAGAATGGCTGTGCTGGCTCCTTCACAGCCATCTTCCTAAGCCGGGTGCACCCGGACCCACCCGGAGGGGCCCGGGAAGGGTCTAGCGGCCCTCCAGCGGCCCCCAACGCCCCCCCGCGGCCCTGTTTTGGTAGTGTATCACACATATGTTGTGTCACTATCATACCCACGACCCAGGGTACCCGAGCGCTCCCGAGCAGCTATAAGGTCGAGCCGCTGGAATGCCTCCTCCAGTGGCACCCAGTCGCGCTCGAGGTACGGGAGGAGCATATCATACAGTTTCACTGCCCGAGCCTGCAGCTTGGCACACTCGTGGCACTTGTCCTCGTGGGCGAGCTGAATCCCGTAAACGTTCCGCATATCATCGAATTGCGCCTCGTTCAGGCCGGCGTCGATCATCCGACGGGTCACCCGACGTTCGAAGACGCTTTCCCGATCGCTGTCCGAAGACGCGTCGTCGGGACGGGAGTCGCTGGCCGGCAGGTCCTCGACCGCCGGCTCCTCCTCGACCGCGGGCTCCTCTGGCGTGGGCACGTCCTGCAACGTTTCTGGAACGACAGCGAGAAGCGCCTCCGCGCCCGCCTGCCGCCGCTTGCACTTGCCCAACTCCTTGTCCACGCCGCTCGCGTGCGTCTCGAGCCGCTTGCCGTACACGACCGCCTGCTCGAGTCGCGCGCCCGCCAGCTCGCCGCGTAGGTCCCACACAAGGTACGCCAGCGCAGCCTTCTTCAGGTTCTTTATCTGGAGAGCCATCAGCGCGCCGCGCCGCTGCGACGAAAAGAGCGTGTTTACGGCAGCTTTCGCGGCGATGATGATGCCGTTGGTGACCTCGCCGACGATGCTGACCTCGTTGGAGGGTGCGGGGACGGGATGGTTGCCGAGGAGCATGGTCTCGAGGCGATTTAAGAGCGCGGTGGGCTCCAAGGCGAGCTGCGCCGAACTGGAGCGAGTCGGCCGCGCCCGAATTGCTGGCGCCGCATCGGCGCCGGTCGAGTCCGACACGACCGCGGTCTTCTCCACCGGCTCGAGGTTCGCCATCCGCGGCGCTGCACCGCGGATTCGAACGGCTGCTCGCTCCTGCTCGGCGGCTGGCCTGTCAGCACGGCGCTTCGAGAGGGCGGTCGCCGTCGGTGCACGTTGACTATCATGGCGAGCGAGCAGCCCCGCAGTGAGTGGATGCAGCCCACCGGAGGTACTGTCTGAGGTGGGGCCCGGCGCGTGAGGCTCGTCGGCGTCCGCCATCACCGCCTGCGGCCACTGCAGAGTCGGCCAAACGAGGCTTGATTTTTGGCCATTTTGGCACGGACCCTTGCGGACTCTTCACAGCTGGGTCCCGGTGCACCCGGAGGATGGCTGTGAAGGAGCCAGCACAGCCATTTTGGGTGTTACATTCCGAGGTTAGCCTTGCCCTGTGGTTGTGGTTGTGCCCGTCGCGCCCGGCGGCGTGCATATCGGCTCTGTCAGGCTTGCAGCTTGCAGCCCCAGCCGTGAGACTGTGCTTCCTGAAGGAGCTTGTGGAAGAACCACTTCTTCTGCCTCCTATGCCGGAGCGCATCATCATCGACACCGACATGTCCATCGACGTGGACGATGTGGGAGCGCTCTGCCTAGCGCACGCTCTCCAGGACCGCAACAAGGCGGAGATCTTGGCGGTTACGCACAATACCGGCCTCGAGCAGGGCGTCGGCGCTGTGTCGGTGATCAACCACTACTTTGGCCGTGATGACATTCCAATCGGAGCTTACCGCGGTCCTGTGGGCTGACCTGCGGACACGCCAGCCAACCCTCCGATCGAGTGGACCAACAGCGGGAAAGGATGGTATGTCGCGGACCTGGTGGCTCGCTTCCATTCTCCCATCCGAGACTCGTCGCAGGTGCCAGACGCGCTCACTGTCTTGCGACAAGCGCTCTTCAACGCGCCGGGCCATCGCACAGTGACGATTGTTGCCATCGGCCACGCGCTCAACGTCCTCGCCCTCCTAAAATCGCCAGGCGGCTTGGACTTGGTCAAGCGCAAAGTCTGGGGGGCACCTACTGGGACCGGCACCCGCACGTCGAGTGGAACTGCGGCGCGTACAGCAAGCTCTCGCAGCTCACCTCGGACGCTCTCAGCCGCTGGCCGGTGGAGGTGCCTACCGTGTTCGTGAGCTTCGACATCGGCTTCTGGGTGCGGGTCGGCGGCGTGCTCAAGACCGGAGCTCCCGTAAACAGCCCTTGCCGACAGGCCTTTGTCGACTTTTGCGGCGTCGTCGATGATTGGGCGATAAGGGTACGCCTTGGCATTCCTCGGTGGCGGCAGGAGGTGGAGCAGGCCGAGCGGCTCGAGGAACATGACCACGTCGAGGACGAGCGGCCCGATTGGGAAGCCGGCGCACAGGAAGAGCGTCGTGGCGAGAGAGACGGAGGTGTACGTCTTGTCGCCGCTTTCGCACTTGCAGCCGATGCCGAACTGGGCGTGCAGCCAGAAGGTGACACCGAGCCACACAGCGACGTACTGCTGGGCGATGAAGATCACTGTAAGGGTGCCCCAGATGGGGTGGTTCGTCTCAAACAGCTGGATCGCGAGGACGACGTCGAAGCCGAGGTCCGCGTAGAAGAGGAACGCGCCGAAGACGCCGGGTAGGATGACCGTCATCCCGTGGTGCATTGCAGGGCAGGCGGTCTTGAAGAGCTGCATCGCCTGCTTCCGTTGCTCGTTCAAGGAGTTGCAGCACCCCGCCGCGGCCCCACCACCGACGGCGGCGGCGGCGGCGCCAACGACCTCGGGCGCCACCTCCGCCGCGTTGAGTGCCGCGTCGCCGAGCTCGACGTACTCCGCCATCTTTCTCGGGATTTCGACCAAACTCGGAAACTTGCGTGCCGCGCCGGGGGCATAGTAATTGATGGCGAACGCAATCCGGCCGCCCCCTGACCCGCGCTGTATTGGCAATGCCCCGACAACTATATTGATACACAGGCAAACTTTCGAAACGAAACGAAACGATACCAGAACGACGCCCTCGCCCCTTCCCACGCATACGTTTTAGTTGCGTGGTGCGTCGTTTCCCCGTCGCACACACGCCTGAGGATAGTGTGTTGAAAGCAGCCAATGCGCGCTGGGCCACACTCGCGCCACTCCGCACTCGTCGGCCCAAGCGCGGCGCGCGCCCCCCCCTGAAGAAGGAAGATGAAAAGAGACACTCTACTCTCATGGGCGTATTCTTTTGCGCTCTCCCCCCTATGCCCTGCCCTATGCATGCAGTTTAGACTCTCCCCCGATGGCGATGCACTTGTTTGCGAGCTCGTCGCACTTGCGCCACAGCTCGGCCCGCGCGCGCCCGTCCTTTGCAAACTTGCACGGGTGGCGCTTCTTGTCGACATGGTAGGTGCCGCTCTCTGGCGGGGGCGTGTCGAGGGCGAGCTTGAGCGGCGTCTGCGCGGCCATCTCGGCGCGGTCGGGGCCCGTGGCAATGCCAAGGATGGTCAGGAGCTCCGAGGTGACAACGCCCGGATGGCACGCGCTGACGCTCACGCCGGCGTCGCGGAAGCCGTGCGTGGGCGCCTCGGCCGCGAGCATGCGGACGGCCTGCTTGCACGCCGAGTAGACGGCGATGGGATGGTACGGCCGCAGCGTGCGGCTCTGCAGATCGTCGAGCTTGAGGCCGTTGGCGAGCTGCGACGCGACGAGGACGACACGCGCACCGCGCGAGAAGGCCGGGAGCAGCTCGCGCATCAGCACGAAGCCGCCGAGCACATTCGTCGCAAACTGCAGCTCGAGGCCGTCCTCTGCATCCACGGATGCGCTCGTCTGCGGAGGCAGGCCGTCGGAGCAGGCAGCCGCTGCGGCGCCTCCTGCTGCACCCGCATCGTCTTCGAAGCGGCGGCCGAGGCAATCCACTCGCACGCGGGTCTTCGAGGCGACGGCGGCGCAGTTGATCAGCACGTCGACGCGTGGGAAGTCCCGACGAATCCGCGCGCAGCACGCCGCGACCGATGCGGGCACCGCGAGATCGGCCACGAGGACCTCCACGTCGATCGCCTGCTGCGCCTCGCCGCGCGCCGCTGCACCGCCCGCGCCGCTGCTGCTCACGTTGTGTCGTGTCGTGTCGAGTGCGGCGCACCGCTCGCTCTCATCCTGCACGATGAGCACAAGACGAGAGACGAGGGCCACCTTGAGGTGCGCCTTGAGGATGCCACGCGCAATCGCGCCGCCAATCTCGCCCGTGGCGCCGGTGAGCACGAGCACCTTCTCGCCACGTGGCACACCAGACGCCGTGAGGGCGCGGGACGGCAACACCAGCTCGAAGCTGGTGCGGCCAGCGACCGCACCGCGCAGCAGTTGCTCGGCGGCGTCGCCCATACGCTCGTTGCGCCAGAGGTCGCACGCCCTCAGCGCACCAGCATTGGCCGCGAGCCCGGAGGCCAACGCAGTGCCGCCGTCGGCGCCGATGCCGCAACCCTCCAGGCCGATCGTCTCGAGAGCCCTGTTCGTCTTGAGGCCCTCGCCGATCGCGCGCGCGCCCTGATCGCCAATCTGATTCTGTGCGAGCAAGAGCGCCTTCAGGCTCCATGCCGACATTAGCGCGTCGCCCAGCGCGATGGCGCCGTCCGCGCCGATGCTGCAATCCTCCAGGCTGAGCGTAACGAGAGCCCTGTGCGTCCGGATACCGTCGGCAATCCTGATCGCGCCGATGTCGCCGATCTTATTCTGCGCAAGCACGAGCGTCTTCAGGCCTGCAGCCGCTTTGAGCAACCCGCCCAGTGCCACGCCCTCGGTCGGTCCGAGGCCTCGATTCTCCAGCTCGAGCGCGGTGGTCCTGCCCATGCGCAGCTCCATCGCCGGCACCGGTCCGAGGTGCTCGAGCGATGAGCATGCGAGCACGGCCTCGGCAAGCTTGGTCGCGCCGTCGTGGTCAATGTTGACCCTGTCGTACGTGCCCGTCACCGTGAGCCGCCTCAGGGGCACGGCGGCGCCGCCAAGCTGATGGCGTCGGCGCAGCTCGTCGCCGAGGAGTGTGCCACCCTCCGACCCCAGGCTGTTCTTGGAGAGGTCGAGGGCGGTGAGGGCCGCGAAGCGCGGGAGGACGGACGCAAGACGGCGCATCTTCGAGCCGGCCGCCGCCGCGTCCCCCCAGCTCACGTCACTGAAGTGGAGCTTCTTCGCGGCGGGCACGGCGCCGTCAAAGAAGCTCGAGTAGATGGTCTTGACCACGTCGCTGTCGGCGCCGGAGGTGAAGAGCTTGGTCTCGAGCGCCACGCAGAAGTCGTCCGGCGTCATCGGCGGGTCACGCGTGGCGGCGCACACGCTGTCGAGCTTGGTCTCCGGCACCCACCCGCCGCCATACGTGAAGACGTCGGGCGTCGTGCGGCCGAGCTTGGCCTGGCCGAGGTCGAGTCGCCGATTGCCCATCTTGAGCGCGCCGGTCATGGCGAATTCGACGAAGCACCATCCCGAGTCCTCGTACGTCTCCGCGAGCGGCGGGTGACTCTCCCGCATCGTCTTCGCAAAGCCGTCCGGCAGCTCCGTCTGCATCCACACGACGCTGAACGAGTGGCCGTACCACACGGGCAGCGCGGCCAGGCCCGCCTTGAAGAGCGGGACCTCGTCCGGCGTGCGCTCCACGAGCGGCCCGCCCTCCACGGTCGGCGGGCCCTTTTGCACGAGCGAGCCAAAGTCCCAAAAGAGCGCAAAATCCGGCACGCCGAGGCCCGCGGCCTGGAAGAGGGCAACGAGTGGAGAGCCCCACTCATCATCCTTCTTCAGGTAGAGGCTCGCGGCCTTCGCGACGCGCTCCAGGTGATGTCCGTCAGGGTCGGGATGCGGCTGAGTCAACCACCGATAGGAGAGCGCTACAAAGAGCAGGCCCCAGCCAATCTCGCCGTGCACAAGGTGCTGGTGGACGCCAACCTTCTCGACGAGCTTGCGCAACTCCGAGGCCGTCCAGAAGGCCTCCTTCGGTAAATCCTGCCGGCGCGCCAGTTTTCCACCGTCCTGGTGCAGCTTGACGATGTAGCTGCCCTTTAGCGGCCAGACGGCGCCGCTCTCGACTGAGTCGAGGAGCGCGTCGGGCGAAAAGTATGGCTGATGCGCCGAAGCAAGGGAGGCCGACTCGGTCATGGCGCCGTCGTTTGCAAGTGCCACGCTCACGTTGGGAGACTGGCTGCTGGCGCTGCAGCCCATGACAGCACGGCGGAGACAGCGCGACGACGAAAAACTCTCGCGCCAAGGGGTCATACCAAAGCTACGCCCTTGGGCTTGGATGACCCCTTGCTCGCGCCAGAGCCTGGCTCGCCCAGCACGGCGCTCGCGCTACGGGCGTTCACCCTATGTGTGCATGCACTTGCTATCACGACGGACCCAACCTCCCCCCCCCCGGAACGAAACGTCTCCTCTTCAAGGCTCTCATAGGGCGCTGCGGTGGCAGCCCCGAATCGGGGGAGGTTGCGACGGACCTACTTAGGGGTGCCTCCAGCACGAGACTTGGCTGAACAACCCCCCCTGCCCCTCCCCGGTCGCTGGTGCGTTTGAGACGATGACTGGCCGCTCCACCGCGCCCAAGCGCAAAGCAAAGGGGCGGCGGAGGGGGCGGGGTCCAACTTTTGCGCGGGGTGTTGTATGGTCGGCCGGGGGTATGGTCCTGACTGCCCAAGACTAGCCCTCGACAGGGGTGGGGGGGTATAGTCCCTCGGCCCCTCCTCTACTGCCGCCGCCGAGCCCGCAGCGCCATGAATGAGTTCGGAGCACGCGCCCGTGCGTGTCGCGGAGCTGCTGCAGCTGCTCCGCGCTCCAACTCGCCGACACACTTGCTGGTGCGGGTGCGACGACCGGCGCGGGTGCCGCGCCCGCCGCTCGCCAGGCGATTGCCAACTTCGCAATTGCTACCTACCTATCCAACCCCCCTTCAGCGGGATGGCCAGACCCCCTAGAGATGGCTAGGAGCGGGTGTGTCTGATGTGTGTCGTCACTCGGCAGAGATTGTGTCACTCTCTGCGCGCCGCGCTATATAGACGAGAGAGGACGGCTACTCGCGTCTGCCAACGGCGATGGCGCACCGTCCAACGGCGATGGCGCTGCTCCAACGGCGACGGCGAGACAAGGCACGTACGCGAGGTGCGGTGGGCGGGACCACGCGGCCGGTCGGAGGCTCGATCGCGGCCGCTCTGCACGGCCCGTGACGCTCCCGGGGTGGCGAGAGAGGACGGCTACTCGCGTCTGCCAACGGCGATGGCGCACCGTCCAACGGCGTTGGCGCTGATCCAACGGCGACGGCGAGACAAGGCACGTACGCGAGGTGCGGTGGGCGGGACCACGCGGCCGGTCGGAGGCTCGATCGAGGCCGCTCTGCACGGCCCGTGACGCTCCCGGGGTGGCGAGAGAGGACGGCTACTCGCGTCTGCCAACGGCGATGGCGCTGATCCAACGGCGACAGCGCTGCTCCAACGGCGACGGCGAGACAAGGCACGTACGCGAGGTGCGGTGGGCGGGACCTCGCGGCCGGTCGGAGGCTCGATCGTGGCCGCTCTGCACGGCCCGTGACGCTCCCGGGGTGGCGAGAGAGGACGGCTACTCGCGTCTGCCAACGGCGATGGCGCACCGTCCAACGGCGTTGGCGCTGATCCAACGGCGACGGCGAGACAAGGCACGTACGCGAGGTGCGGTGGGCGGGACCACGCGGCCGGTCGGAGGCTCGGTCGTGGCCGGTCTGCACGGCCCGTGACGCTCCCGGGGTGGCGAGAGAGGACGGCTACTCGCGTCTGCCAACGGCGATGGCACCCCGTCCGACGGCGATGGCGCTGCTCCAACGGCGTTGGCGCTGCTCCAACGGCGACGGCGAGACAAGGCACGTACGCGAGGTGCGGTGGGCGGGACCACGCGGCCGGTCGGAGGCTCGATCGTGGCCGCTCTGCACGGCCCGTGACGCTCCCGGGGTGGCGAGAGAGGACGGCTACTCGCGTCTGCCAACGGCGATGGCGCACCGTCCAACGGCGTTGGCGCTGATCCAACGGCGACGGCGAGACAAGGCACGTACGCGAGGTGCGGTGGGCGGGACCACGCGGCCGGTCGGAGGCTCGATCGAGGTCGCTCTGCACGGCCCGTGACGCTCCCGGGGTGGCGAGAGAGGACGGCTACTCGCGTCTGCCAACGGCGATGGCGCACCGTCCAACGGCGTTGGCGCTGCTCCAACGGCGACGGCGAGACAAGGCACGTACGCGAGGTGCGGTGGGCGGGACCACGCGGCCGGTCGGAGGCTCGATCGTGGCCGCTCTGCACGGCCCGTGACGCTCCCGGGGTGGCGAGAGAGGACGGCTACTCGCGTCTGCCAACGGCGATGGCACCCCATCCGACGGCGATGGCGCTGCTCCAACGGCGACGGCGAGACAAGGCACGTACGCGAGGTGCGGTGGGCGGGACCACGCGGCCGGTCGGAGGCTCGGTCGTGGCCGCTCTGCACGGCCCGTGACGCTCCCGGGGTGGCGAGAGAGGACCGCTACTCGCGTCTGCCAACGGCGATGGCGCACCGTCCAACGGCGTTGGCGCTGCTCCAACGGCGACAGCGCTGCTCCAACGGCGACGGCGAGACAAGGCACGTACGCGAGGTGCGGTGGGCGGGACCACGCGGCCGGTCGGAGGCTCGATCGCGGCCGCTCTGCACGGCCCGTGACGCTCCCGGGGTGGCGAGAGAGGACGGCTACTCGCGTCTGCCAACGGCGATGGCACCCCATCCGACGGCGATGGCGCTGCTCCAACGGCGACGGCGAGACAAGGCACGTACGCGAGGTGCGGTGGGCGGGACCACGCGGCCGGTCGGAGGCTCGATCGTGGCCGCTCTGCACGGCCCGTGACGCTCCCGGGGTGGCGAGAGAGGACGGCTACTCGCGTCTGCCAACGGCGATGGCGCACCGTCCAACGGCGTTGGCGCTGATCCAACGGCGACGGCGAGACAAGGCACGTACGCGAGGTGCGGTGGGCGGGACCACGCGGCCGGTCGGAGGCTCGGTCGTGGCCGCTCTGCACGGCCCGTGACGCTCCCGGGGTGGCGAGAGAGGACGGCTACTCGCGTCTGCCAACGGCGATGGCGCACCGTCCAACGGCGTTGGCGTTGCTCCAACGGCGACGGCGAGACAAGGCACGTACGCGAGGTGCGGTGGGCGGGACCACGCGGCCGGTCGGAGGCTCGATCGTGGCCGCTCCGCACGGCCCGTGACGCTCCCGGGGTGGCGAGAGAGGACGGCTACTCGCGTCTGCCAACGGCGATGGCACCCAATCCGACGGCGATGGCGCTGCTCCAACGGCGACGGCGAGACAAGGCACGTACGCGAGGTGCGGTGGGCGGGACCACGCGGCCGGTCGGAGGCTCGATCGCGGCCGCTCTGCACGGCCCGTGACCCTCCCGGGGTGGCGAGAGAGGACGGCTACTCGCGTCTGCCAACGGCGATGGCACCCCGTCCGACGGCGACGGCGCTGCTCCAACGGCGACGGCGAGACAAGGCACGTACGCGAGGTGCGGTGGGCGGGACCACGCGGCCGGTCGGAGGCTCGATCGTGGCCGCTCTGCACGGCCCGTGACGCTCCCGGGGTGGCGAGAGAGGACGGCTACTCGCGTCTGCCAACGGCGATGGCACCCCGTCCGACGGCGACGGCGCTGCTCCAACGGCGACGGCGAGACAAGGCACGTACGCGAGGTGCGGTGGGCGGGACCACGCGGCCGGTCGGAGGCTCGATCGCGGCCGCTCTGCACGGCCCGTGACGCTCCCGGGGTGGCGAGAAAGGACGGCTACTCGCGTCTGCCAACGGCGATGGCACCCCGTCCGACGGCAATGGCGCTGCTCCAACGGCGACAGCGCTGCTCCAACGGCGACGGCGAGACAAGGCACGTACGCGAGGTGCGGTGGCGGGACCACGCGGCCGGTCGGAGGCTCGATCGCGGCCGCTCTGCACGGCCCGTGACGCTCCCGGGGTGGCGAGAGAGGACGGCTACTCGCGTCTGCCAACGGCGATGGCGCACCGTCCAACGGCGTTGGCGCTGATCCAACGGCGACGGCGAGACAAGGCACGTACGCGAGGTGCGGTGGGCGGGACCACGCGGCCGGTCGGAGGCTCGCTCGCGGCCGCTCTGCACGGCCCGTGACGCTCCCGGGGTGGCGAGAGAGGACAGCTACTCGCGTCTGCCAACGGCGATGGCGCACCGTCCAACGGCGACGGCGCTGCTCCAACGGCGACGGCGAGACAAGGCACGTACGCGAGGTGCGGTGGGCGGGACCACGCGGCCGGTCGGAGGCTCGATCGTGGCCGCTCTGCACGGCCCGTGAAGCTCCCGGGGTGGCGAGAGAGGACGGCTACTCGCGTCTGCCAACGGCGATGGCGCACCGTCCAACGGCGTTGGCGTTGCTCCAACGGCGACGGCGAGACAAGGCACGTACGCGAGGTGCGGTGGGCGGGACCACGCGGCCGGTCGGAGGCTCGATCGTGGCCGCTCCGCACGGCCCGTGACGCTCCCGGGGTGGCGAGAGAGGACGGCTACTCGCGTCTGCCAACGGCGATGGCACCCAATCCGACGGCGATGGCGCTGCTCCAACGGCGACGGCGAGACAAGGCACGTACGCGAGGTGCGGTGGGCGGGACCACGCGGCCGGTCGGAGGCTCGATCGCGGCCGCTCTGCACGGCCCGTGACCCTCCCGGGGTGGCGAGAGAGGACGGCTACTCGCGTCTGCCAACGGCGATGGCACCCCGTCCGACGGCGACGGCGCTGCTCCAACGGCGACGGCGAGACAAGGCACGTACGCGAGGTGCGGTGGGCGGGACCACGCGGCCGGTCGGAGGCTCGATCGTGGCCGCTCTGCACGGCCCGTGACGCTCCCGGGGTGGCGAGAGAGGACGGCTACTCGCGTCTGCCAACGGCGATGGCACCCCGTCCGACGGCGACGGCGCTGCTCCAACGGCGACGGCGAGACAAGGCACGTACGCGAGGTGCGGTGGGCGGGACCACGCGGCCGGTCGGAGGCTCGATCGCGGCCGCTCTGCACGGCCCGTGACGCTCCCGGGGTGGCGAGAAAGGACGGCTACTCGCGTCTGCCAACGGCGATGGCACCCCGTCCGACGGCAATGGCGCTGCTCCAACGGCGACAGCGCTGCTCCAACGGCGACGGCGAGACAAGGCACGTACGCGAGGTGCGGTGGC